AACAAACCAAGAAACTACAGACCTGGATCACTCAGCCTCACAAAATTATGCAACCAATAATGCGTAGTTTAATTGAGTGATTCCTCCATAGATGGACGTTCACAGCGATCTTGGTGAGCAAACGTGGAATGACTGTTTGCGCCCTAAAAACTACCTAGTCTGCAAGGTGACATCTTACAGTCACATAACTTTTAATGCACGTCATAGGCTTCAAATCACCAGTGATGCCATACATCTTCAAAATTGGTATGTTGTAGGAATTCTCAACATTCGTCATCTTTCTCATTCTCTCTGCATAGCATGTAAGTTGAGAGTGACGGAAAAATTACGTATTGAGGTAAGTCGGAGATAAGTCGATATTGAAATACTGCGGAACACATTACAGAAGATAGGCTTTGACAATATGAACTGTCATGTCAAATGGGAAACATCCTGTGGTATCCTAATCCGGTGTTGCCAAGAGCAGTACAATTTTACCACATGTGCTATATTTAAAGTAATAGTACTTTTTTAAAATAACCATATTGTGGTATAAAACAAAAGAAACTGTTTACGTTGATTACGATGCAGTTTTTTGCCCATGTTTCAGTAAAAACTGCAAGAGAATTTGAGATCAATTGTTGATACAATGATTGCGTAACTGGGGATTATATTGGAATCGCAAAGCACGTAATAACGCTTATGGGAGTAAATCCATACGCAGCGTTTGTAAAAAAGACTGAGAATAAAATCTTTTTTCAACGATTTATTGCATTTGAGTCGGTAATGATCTCGATATTGGTAACGTAAGGTAATCGATGACAGCTGATGATAATAAAATAGTGGTTACAAAAGCAAATAATCAAAAACGAAAGAAACTAGTTTCATACAATTGTGATACAGTCCATTCTGTCAATATTAAAACTGCTTTTTTGCTTCGTTTATACAACATAAAATATTTTTCATTTTTTGGAGTACATTAAAATTTTTATTCCTGGCAACACTGTAGTCACTGTATTTTATGTTCTATAGTTTAAATATCAAAATTGACATGCCCTAACCAGATTATCAAACTAACCCTTAACCTTTAAAGCATTATGATTAGAAATGGACTGTTTAGTTTATACAATTTGAAATTTTCGCAGGTGGTATCACTACACTTAACTGTGATTCCAGATGAATCCTGCATAACATTTTTTGAAACGCGTCTCAACAAAACTTGGATTCATCCAGAATCCCAGTTAAGTCCACATATTGGTCATTTGTACGGAAAGATCCTTGTTTAGTGAGGAAGTATTTTATTTTAATTCACAAGCCCCACTGAGCGAGGGCCGTGACAAATGCTTGTTCCGGAAGTTGTTGTATCCAGTATACAACTTCTTCCCGTCCAAGTGATTGTGCACGCGTTAAGGAATACCTCAGTACCGATTGCCGGGTGGCGGTACAAGTCCGCCAACGGGCCACTTTAGGTCTATTTAATATCACTAACACGTAAAAAGAAGGTGGTAGACAAGGACCAGTCGACCGAGGCGGTACCACCCGCTAGCTTTTCCCAGGGTGTCTTATAAATGTCCGCATGTTTCCACACCTAAGCTATGCAGTCGGTTATCTTCCAAAACAAAGAAATTAATGATGATGGATCCCTCGAGCACTAAGAACTCCGGACGTAAACTCACTCCACTCTCGGAATGTCCGGGTGGAGGGTGGGCTCGAGGGAACAACATCGAAGATAAAATTTGTTTTTCGAACATCTGCGGGATCAACAGCAACATTGATACTGTTCATCACTACCTGCAATCCAATCGTCCCGCCGTGCTTTTCTTGGCGGAGACAAAAATCTCAGAGACTGCACCGATTAACCATCTCAAGTTCCCAAACTACGAGGTGCACTCCAATCTGAGAAAGAACGGGGGAGTTGTGGCTTTTGTCCGCAGCAGTCTTTCCTGCTCCAGGGATCTTTCTTTGGAATCAGACCGGAAGGACATTCTGTGGCTTCGCCTCAACTCCAAAACATCACCCAAATGTATTTGCTGCCTTTATCGCTCTCCATCGAACCATAACAGGGATGACCTACTCGAATACCTCGCCGTCCAGATCGACTTCCTGAACATCAATCACCCCGCTTCAGAAGTAGTTCTTCTCGGTGATTTCAATGCCCATAGTGAGCTTTGGTTGAGCTCAAATAAGACCGATGCAGCAGGTCGTGCAGTCGAAGCGTTCGCTTTTATTCAAGGGCTGACCCAGCTGGTCACGATCCCTACTTTTTCCCCCGCGTCTCGTCACACGCCACTAGCCTGCTGGATCTCTTTCTGACCACGCATCCTGTCCCTTACAGCACTGCTGTGCTGTCCCCCCTGGGTAACTCAGATCACGGTGTTGTGAAGGTTAGGTTTCGGTCAGAAGCCGCTGTGGCAGCAGAAACTCGTACAGGCCGCAAAACTTGGCATTACGGACATGCCGACTGGGAGGAGCTCAGAGATTTCTTCTCTAGCTTTCCTTGGAAAGATGTCTGTTTCACTGACGCCGATGCGTCGGCTGTCTGTTCTTCGATAACCGAAATTATCCACGTCGGAATGGAGGAATACATCCCTCACATGCAGGAATTCAGAGTGACAAGCCGATCTCTGCCGCTGAGCTGGAAAAAAGAAGACTAGCGACGACTTCTTCTCTGACAAGAGACCTGGAGGCTATCACTGCTTGGGGACGCAACAATCTTGTACAGTTCAATGCTTCCAAAACACAGTACTGTACTTTGACGAACAAAAAGCGTCCTAGCGCTCATACAGTTTCGATGGACGGCCGAGTTCTACCAAAGAGCCATTCATTTCGGCTGCTCGGAGTCCAGATCACCGAGGACCTGATCTGGCACGAACACATCTCTTCAATAGCTGCAGCTGCTGGGAAAAAGCTAGGTTATTTGTTTAGGGCTAAGAAGTACTTTTCTCCGCATGACCTTCTCACTCTATACAAGGCCCAGATAAGGCCTAGCCTCGAGTATTGCTCACACATTTGGGGTGCTGCTGCCCCGACTACATTGTCCATGCTCGATGCTGTCCAGAGGAGGGCGGTCCGACTGATCGATGACTCTTCTCTAACAGACAGTCTCGGGACTCTTTCGCACCGGCGGGCCGTCAGCGATCTAGCTCTTTTCTATCGCTACACCAACGGGCTTTGCTCCTCAGAGCTCTCTTCCATGATGCCGCCGCGCGATGTGCCTGCCAGACAGACCCGCCTGACTTCGGCGTCCCATCCTAACCGTGTCAAACTTCGTACATCCAGAACTGGCCGATACGACCGCTCCTTTGTCCCGAGGGTGTCTAGATTGTGTAACAATCTACAAGAGGAAGCTTTTCCCAGTTCTGCTAATCTTAGGCAGTTCAAAAGTCGTGTTAACAAAATTTCTTTGCGATCATCATAGCAGCCGCGGTGTTCCGGCATTTAGGCTTCTGCCTGAGCGGCTGTTTCGATATAAAAAAAACAAATCTAACAGGTAGAGGTATACTGGGAATTTTTATTTATATACAAAAACATCTTACAAATGCATTGTAGGTATTGTATTGCTATAGTTAACATTATAAAGAGTAATTTACTAATGTGGAAAGCTCAAGACATATGATACAGACCTTGGTCCGAGTAAAGATAACCTGGCCACCGACCGACCGTTGCCTTGCGTGGCCAGGTTATCTTTACTCTGACCCAGACCTTATCAGCATTTAGCAGCATTTAACAGTATTAGAATCATAGCAAATAGTTATTTATACCATCGACAAGAAAATTAGTCACTAAAATCACTGGAGATTTCTGATTCACTTGAGGAATCTTCAACATTAATTATCACAGGCGAGATTTCCTTTCTATCAAATAGTCTCTCTCTCATGTACCAAGCCATAATTTCCTTTTCTGTGTGCTGAATAGAGTTTTTCCACATATCTGGAGTGACAGTCTGAAGGGCTTCACACCACATGCTTAAGGCACTAGTTTCTGAATATCCATCTCTCCCAATGTGTTTATTATAATTAATATGATTTTACAATCCCCCAAATAAGTGCAATTAGGTTGAAAACACAATGATATGGAGGAAGTCTTAAAACTTTATGGCCGTATCTTTCTGATATGTCATCAATAATATATTTCTTGGGAGGTTTATGTCTGAAAATAGAAACAAATTATCAAACAAATAATCAATCTGTAAATGCCTTACTCACTGGGAAACAAGAGTTAGTAACTCTGTGTTGAACATTATCTGGCTGAAAGGAATATTTTTGTGTGCCAGCCATTCCTCAATTGCAAGTTTATTCCATGAGGTATTTGGACATCTTTCCAATAACATGCTGTGATAGGGAGCATTATCCATAATAATCAAAGAAGGCTCGGATAAGCTTTTTAGGAGTTGGTCTTCAAACCACTTCGAAAAATGTTTCTTGTTCATTTCACCATGATAATCACCTTCTTGTTTTTTAGAGGCAAATATTAATTCTGCTCCCTTAATGAAACCATTTTCATTGCCAGCATGAAGTACAATGTATCTAAAATAAGAATCTGTTGAGCACACCCAGGTTCTGAACCCTATTTGTGCTACAAAAACAGTACCTTCTACCATCTACTTTAGTAGCTTTAACATTTTTATCATGCCATGAACGCCCAACTGTTCCATTTTGGAATATACAAGTTTCATCCAGAAATACAAATGATTCATATATTCCCTCTTCCTTGTTCCTCATATACTCCCTTAGAAATTGTGCCCTTTTTGAGGCAATATCCGGCATTTCCATGAGACCTCTTTTTGGATCATCTTTTCTCCAATTAAAACCAATTTCATGTAGCAATCTTCGTAAAGATGCCAAACTACCACCAAAAAATTCTTTTGCTTTAAGTCTTTCTCCCAGTGTCTGCAGATTCACATGATTTCCTACAATCAGCACTTTATGTAGGCATTCATAAAAACAAATACTCATTAATACTTACGATTTTTATACATATCATAAATTTCGTTACGGATACCACTAACATTTAACAATGATGTATCAGTCACTGTTTTCTTTCTTCTACGATTTTTTGTGGGAAAATTTAACCTCACATTGCCTTTCATTGCCGCTGACACCTTACTTACAGTAGGCAAACTCAAGTTTAGTGCATTCGCTACACGCTAAAACAGATTATGATACTCCTTTCGAAAGTAGTAAGATGCAATTTACCTCTCTAACTTATTTCAATGGTAATAAGGGTCCATCATTTTCCAATTCCTTTTTAAAATAATTGATAAGAGATGCTACAAGCTCTTTACACCGGCTGTTTAAGAACTTCGGCATTATCCCAACAATATCAACACCGACAAGAACAGAGTTGACAGATGTGAATCATCTGACATTAATTGCCAAATTTTTGCATCCAGAGAAATTTTTATATTTTGGCAAGAAAGAAGGCAATAATATTATGGAAGCTGAACCCGAGGGGTCCCCAGGCGACCCCTCTACTGCTTTAAGTGGAGTTGGCGCGCAGTGCAGCGCTACTTTGGAATATATTCCAGAAAACCAAAACGAGATGACGCCAATGATGACATCAGGGATGACACCGATACTGGAGAAGGAAAACGAGAACCAGAGACTTTTGAAGATACTTGCAGACCAAGCAGCCCAGATTCAGAGACTGACTGACTGTGTGGAGTCACTTAATGCCCAGGTTTTTAAGCTTACAAGTATCATTCATAAAACAGTTCCCAATGTTGATTCTTCCAAAACAGCAAAACGTAGACATAACAGCCATTCGAGTGACCTACATAATGAGACCGATGAGGACACACAGGGTGATATTTTCACACCTGTTCGACGTCGCAAAGTGAGACTGCGCAAAACAGAATTTCCTCCGCTACCGACGAAATCCCCAAATAACAAACATTCAGGCAACCTAAAACCGTCTGTGTCTGTACCCTCTACCGCTTCTACTAGTCAGCCAAGGGAAAGACCTTTATCAGCATCCACACAGAGTGCTTCTCCTGTTATACCCCAAGTGCAGTCTGATCCATTGGCTGGCTGCAACTCATTTTCCTTGCCATCCAGCGGATATCTAAACACACAGGCCCAATCGTCTCGCCAGGTGCGTATTACTCCAATCGTGTTGAGAGATGCGACAAAATGGCGCACCTTAAACTATTCCTTTGTAAGTCTTGGTATTCGTATTGAACGAGCAGTCGCCGTTGACGCTGGGATACGTATCATCCCCAAAACCGAACACGATTATCGCAGGATAATCCGTCTTTTCAAAGAGGAAAACATTCCTCATCACACTTTCCCTTTGCCCACTGAACGCCTGAACGCAACATCCATGCGGTTATCAGAGGTATCCCAGCATCAACCACCGAACAGGAGGTCAAAGCTGAGCTCGAACAGAAGGGATATACTTCCATCCACGTAATTCGCTTGAAGCGCGACGGCGGCGTGCCCATGCCCTTGATGGTGGTGATCCTGCCTAAGACGGAGAAGTCACAGCAAGTGTTCAACGAGCACGAATTGCTGGGGCTCTCTATCAGAGTCGAAGTTCAGAAGAACTCTCGACTCATTGGGCAGTGTCACCGCTGCCAGAAGTACGGACACGCACAGTCGTATTGCACTGCGCCGCCAAAGTGTCTAAAATGTGCCCAAGACAACATGACACATATATGTGCCCTCAAACAGGACAAGAGGTTCGCAGATGTGCGAACTGTGGGGGGGACCATCCGGCAAATAGTCCGACCTGTAGATTTACTCGTAGGAGAAATCTACAAGTCATCGCACAAAGGCGAGCAAAGTCACACGCGGACGCAACAAGAGATGACACCTCAACTGCCCCTGCTGTTTCGAGCTCATCTACGACTACTCAAAATGTGGATCTAGCTACAGCGCTCAGGTCCCTACAGCAGATTATTAGTCCCCTGATAAGCGCCAATAAGGCATTGCAGGCGATCTTTCCGCTGAATGGCTAGGTACAATAGCAGACAGCCTGAATTCATCAAAATTCTTTTCTGGAATTGTTTGGGTCTTAGGGATGTCCCCAAAAAACGGGAATTTCATCAAGCTCTTTTGGATGAGAACGTCGATGTGGCTCTGCTGCAGGAAACATTGCTTAATCCGGGAGATCGTCTAGCTTTCCCGAATTATGATGTTATCCGCGCTGATAGATTAAATGGGCGGGTTGGCAGTTTGGCAGTGCTAGTAAAACGTGGTATTGACTATTACAGAAGCACAAACGCTGAGATGCAGAGCATCGAGGCAACTTCGGTGGTAGTGAATATGACGGGAGGTATCTCATTGAAAATCACATCGGTATATGTCAGATGTGGTGCCAGGCTGCAAGAGACGGATCTGGAAGTCATGTTTGACTGCTCGGGTCCGCTTATTGTAGCAGGGAACTTCAACTGTAAACATCGAGCATGGCACTCTAGTTTAAATTCCACCAGTGGGATTCGACTTTACAACCATGTGATACGAAACGGCTACCTCATACACAGCACTGAGGAGCCGACTCACCACCCATTTAATCACCTTCAGGCACCAGATGTCATTGACTTCGCGATATCTAGAAACTGTAGATTCAGTGTCACTTCTCGAATCATGTATGACATTTCGAGCGATCATCTTCCTATCGTACTGGAAGTGGGTAATGAGCAAACCTTGGAAGTGGAAACTCTTCCAAGGAAAAGGGTTGATTGGGAGCTATACAAGTCGCTCCTTAGAGAGTTCCCCAATATCCCGATCATAGATGATGAGAACGATATAGAGGCTGCTCAAGCGGAGTGGACAAGTTCCGTTCAGCAAGCTCTGCAGCGTGCAGCTGTACTACCAGTACGACGACACGGCAGACCGTTTCTCCCTGCAGACATTCGTCAGAAAATTTCTGAAAAAAGAGCAGCAATTAAGCAAGCGAAGAGGTCTTGTCACCCAGATGACATTCACAGAGCAACTAATCTTGTTCATGAAGTGAGAAATGCTCTTCATGAATTCCGTAATGAGCAATGGAGCGACTTTCTGTCGGGGATGCTTGACTCAAGTATTCCTCTCTGGAAAGTTGCAAAGTTGCTCAGAAATGGAAAGCGAGAACAACTCCCGCACATCCACGGTCCTAGGGGCATAGTCTGTACGACAGAGGAAAAGGTCGAGGTTTTCGCTGATGCAATGGAAAGTCAGTTCTCTCCCAACTATGACCTTGATAATGACCTCGACGAGGAGCAACATATTGTAAGATCCGTCAGGAGATATTTTAGGGCCAACGGCGTCAGTGGCAGTAGTTCCTCCCTTAGTGATTTTTCCTCAGAGGAATCTTCAGATGATTCCTCAATTGAAGAGCTGCACGGCACATCAGCGAGATCTCCTGAGACTCCGCAGTGCACACCAGCAGAGCTCCAAGGTCATATTAAAGACCTCAAGGTGTGTAAAGCACCTGGAGAGGATCGAATTACTAATAAGGCGCTGAAGCTACTTTCGCGGAAGTCCTTAACTTATCTCGTGGCAATAATCAATGCCATGCTAAGGACCCAGCACTTCCCAACGGCGTGGAAGACCGCTGATGTCATAATGATTCCAAAGAAGGTGGGTTCGATATTCCCTCAGGATTACCGCCCCATTAGTCTACTGTCAGCTCCTTCTAAGCTCGCTGAAAAGGTGATTATACGTCACCTTGAAAATTTCTCGGCAGACCACAATGTGATTCCTGACGTGCAATTTGGCTTTCGGTCTGAGCATAGTACGGAGCTACAGGCCATAAGGCTTGTTGAACGAGTAACCAGCGGGTTCACCCGTAATGAAAGTACTGGCATCTTGCTACTGGATGTCTCAAAGGCATTTGACAAGGTGTGGCACAAGGGCCTTCTCTACAAATTGATCCATAAGGGCTTCCCTTTCTGGCTCCTAAAACTTTTGAAATCCTTTCTCGAGGGTAGGAAATTTCGGATCAAAATTAATAACGTTCTGTCGACAACACGGCCCATCAAAGCCGGTGTCCCTCAGGGTTCGGTTCTTAGACCAGTCCTTTATTCACTTTTTATTCATGACGTCCCTTGCCCCAGCAGCTGTGAAACCTATCTCTATGCTGATGACACTGCCCTGGTGGCCCAGTCGTGCTCTGGGGATCTAGTTCACGACAGGCTGCAAAGTGCAGTGGACGAGGTATTGGAATGGGCGAATCGGTGGCTGATCAAAATTAATCATTCGAAGACGCAGGCAATCTATTGTACTAAAAAACGTACCGGCGGCGGCGCCCCGTCTGAGGTTTCAGTGAATGGCGCTCGGGTACCATGGGAAAGCTCTGCTAAGTATCTCGGTATCACTCTTGACAAGGGGATAACCTGGCAGAAGCACACTGAAGCGTTAAAAACTAAATTCCAAATCTCGTTTCGGCAACTCTACCCTATGCTATGTAGAACATCAAAATTAAGTTTGATCAACAAAGTTCGACCATACAAGATGGTTATTAGACCAGCGATCACTTACGCAAGTGCGGCTTGGTGTTTTCTCGCCAAAACGCATTTGCGTAGCCTGCAGGTTTTGCAGAACAGAACCTTGCGTACAATCACTAACGCCCCATGGTATGTTTCCAACGAGACCCATCACAGAGACCTTGACATCCCTTACCTAAGAGACTACATCAAACAACAAGCGCAGCTACGTTACAGTCAAGCAGAATCGCATAACAACCCTTTGTTGCGCGAGTCAGTAGACTACACAGTCGAGCAAGTTCGCAAGCACACAAGGCCGCGACTCGCACTGTGAACAAAATTAAATCGTGCGACTTTAGGTCCAACCAAAATTATAATTTTTCTTCAACAACCAATCCCAAAATTAATTTTAGGATCAATTTAAAATTGCCGAATACTAACTAGCAATGCCAAGGCACCCCTCAAATTGATGCACTTCTTTTTTCTTTGCTCTCCCTCCTTCCTTCCTTCCTTCCTTTCTTCTTCCCTTCTTTCTCTCTGACTTTGTTTGGTATCTGGGCAACCAGACCTGACAGACGTACTGACTTACAAGACTTCAACCAAGAGCAAAGGTCTTACGGACCGCTCTGACAGACAATGACGAATAGTAAGAACAGAGTTTCACCGCAAAAGTTGATTAACAGAGAAATCGAAAGTTAACACAATATCTGCTGCCAAATTAACCGGCAAATATCATGTTTCCTGTATTTGTGGTATTTTTAACCTCATAGTTGAACGTCAAAATGACGATATGATATTATTTACGACATGCCGTAAACTTGCGAATTCGACAAAATAAGCCTGTGCATAAGCGGCAACCATGTAGACATATTTGTAGTCGGTGAGACATGCTAATATATCTTCTTCATTTTCTAGCACATTAAATTTATATGACTTGCCATTTTACGTAAGTCGACCACCAATCCTAGCTTTTTGTGACGTGAATAAAAAGATATGTGATTTCTACTATATAGGTTTTTTTACGTTTTATAGGTTTTTTACATGATACCCGTGCGGATCACACGACACCTTGACATGACATTTGACCATAAGCGTAATTGTGCTTAGAGAACAGAACTGCCACTGGTCCTCGTTTCATGTTTCATTAATCTCTACTGAAAACCAAATTAGTCTGACGGCTTGTGTTCATGTGTTGAGAGGTGTCTATAGACACATATGTTAGAAAGGGATAGAAACCGGCTGGATAGCGAAGCTCATCACCGCATTGTCTATCAACGCTGACGCGGCAATCTGCCTCGTTGCCATAATGTTACACTAGTTGCTTGAATTAAGGTGCATGTTGAAAACATGCGTTAGTTTACTCTCTACGGATCTTGAACATTCCAACGCAAGGTTTCCACCTCCATGATCATAGACGAGGGTGTCGCCCTGCTTCGAGTAGGCCTTCTCGGGTTTGACAGTAACCTAACCTATTGTAGAAACCTGTGCGAACATTTTCTGGTTCAACATTTTGGCAACGCGGAAGCTTGCACGAGCTTCTGCGTCACCGTTGCTAGGCCATCGCCCTTCAGCCGGCTTCTATCTCTTTCTAACGCGTCGATATATACTTCTCGCGCTTCTCTCTCGTACAAATTGAACTCAAGCCTTCAGACAAATTTGATTTCCCCTGTATACACATATTAGCAAAAATTGATTACAAATAAATTGGCGTCAGAAAAGTTGAAAATCGCCAGATATCGCCAGTTTGCTATTAAAGTAGCCAATCGCCTAGCTATCCATTTAAAGCCGTGAAATCGCCACTTTGGCCAAAAATCGGCTCGCCTGGCAACCCTGAAAGCATACGTCACGAGATGCCCGTAATACAGTTACCTGGATTTTGCCTAGAGATGATTACAGAGAGGATGACCTAGGTGTTGCCAGTTCGCCCATAAGACGTTTCACCTCCCGCACCTATTTTAGCCATCCAAACACAAATAAAACTTTGGTTAACTAAAAATGACAGCAATAAACCGTCATACTTGTCAAAGCCGCCATCTTTTTCTGGATGCCAACTGCCAACAGTCTTGTCATTGTCAAGTTGTGGTTCGGCAGCACCGCACTGTTTCCCATTCTCCCATATGAGGTGACTCCCCCTGCGTTAAACGTGCAATAACCCCTAAATACGTGGTTATGTTATGTAAACCATCACATATCAGGTTGGTGAAACTCATATGGGCGAATGGGAAACAAAGCAGTGTTGCTGGTGCACAAAATGTCGCACCCTCAAAAAATGGCCTCTTATTCACAACTGACGTTGTCTGATTGGTCAGATTTAAATTCCCGGCGGGTTTCTTCCTATGCTTTGCATAAATAACCTTACTTTTTCAGCAAGCAATTTTCCTTTTGCGTAACATAAACATTTCATTTTAAATTGAATAAAGTCAGTATTATGTTATTTGAGACATGCCTTTTGTTCAGAGTTGTGACGCATAAAAATGTAAGTGCCTAAAGCTGTATAATATTTGTAAATACTATAATCCAATTAACCAAGAGCAAAGATCCTACGACCGCTCTGACAGGCATTGACGAATAGAAAAAAAGACTCCAAATCAAAACCATTTCTTTTTTTAAGTTGATCCAAATGATCCCAGTCAGTAGCCAGGCTTCTGGCAGATCCTGAGGAAGATCAGAGATGCAGCGGTTACTCATTTGAGAAATGCAATATTTGAAGATCATACCTGTTTGTATCTCCACATCACTTTTTTAACAGTGGAGCGCTGCGAGAAGTTCAACAGCTGCCGTTGTCAGCCCTTGAGGTCCTGACAACTTTCAGAAGCAGGAAGATTACTTCTGATCTAACCAAAAGGCACAGCTCTGAAGGATTTTTGCAGACCATAACATTTGTAAGTTTTTATGTGACTCGATAACCAGTCATGATTTGTACTGCTTTTTGTCCAAATTAGCTTCCATACTTCATTTTAAATCAGCTATTTTCACAGCAGCAGGGTTGATATGCAAGAGTCACTATAGTTGCAATGAAATCGAAGCCACATGTTGTTATTGAACAATAACATGGGTGCCTACAGGGTGGTGTCAGAGGGGCCATGGCCTCTTCTGGGAATCCACTTTGACTTTAATGTTTGCATATTTAGCATGCTTTTGTATACAACTTTGAGATTTTATAGGATTTGCCCCCTCCTGAGAAAATTGCTTCCTCTGCTCATCAAAAAATTTTGGGGGTAGGAACAATTTCACAAAAAGTTATCTCTTGATGATGATCAGGACCTCTGAGAAAAATTCCTGTGGGTACCCATGGACAATAATATTATTGTTCTAATAAAAAGAGAAATCTGAAATTGTAGTAAAATATCAACACAATTCAATTATTTCCTAATTTCTTATTTAAGCAGGTGCCAACAAAATCTGGGGAATGAAAACATCTGGACCATAATGATGTTAACACTGATTTGTTTGTAGAAAAATGTGTCAGATTTATGTAATAAATATATATTTAGGTATTTGCGATATATGTTTTTCTTTTGAACCTTTCCAGATTAGTAAGTAGAGTGATCTTATAACAGCTTGTGTTATTAACGTTGCTATTTAAATAGCACTTATTCGTCAAGGTAGCGCAAAATGTTAATAGCACATGCTGTTATAAGATCTCCCATATCCCACCAAAAATATATATGTATACAGGGTGTCCGCAAAGTTGGGGTTTTCCTTCACACGACGTAGATCTTGAAAACATAAGCAATTTTTCTTAGTACCATATACACCAATGTCTTAAGGGAACCGAGATAAAGGGCTCTGCAACATCAAAAATATCCGAATAGCGTCCTGTAGCCGCGACCCGCGATATCTCAGACTGGTACCGGCTACTAGCTGAACCCGACGACAGAACTGGGTCGGGGGTCGGGGTCAGTGTGTTAGGTCAGTCTGCAACCTTCAACCGACGGTAAAGGGTCACGCGTATGGAGGTAACGAACCCGTATAATCGATTGCGTTTCAAAAAAAAAAAAAATAATGCCACACTCATACACCAATAATGAACTCGTTGATATGTTGTTAATTTATGGCGAATGTCTTCAAAATGATACAGAATCGTCGCGAGTGTATGCAGATCGTTTCCCTAGACGACATCATCCAAGGCCCCGCAGATTTGTGTATCAGAGAGTCAGGGATACGGACCATTTGGAGGAATTTCGAAGTGGGCACAGTGGGAGGCCTAGACAACCACGAATGGTGCAAGTTGAGGAAGAACTACTGAATCGCGTAGACGACAATCCCTCAACAAGCACTAGAGACGTGGCTAGAGAAGTGCAAGTATCAAAAACTAAAGTGTGGCAAACGTCCAACGTGTACAAGCCCTTCAACCTGACGATTTTCCAGCAAGAGTGCGGTTTTGTGATTGGTTCTTGCATCAACATGACAATAATCCGGACTTTTTGAAGTGCATATTGGTGACAGACGAATCTACGTTCACGCGTAATGGGGTGAATAACTTTCGATTTCAGGCAGAGACATACTTAGCCCTTCTCGTCAACTGGAGAGTGAGTACTTTTTGCTTAATTATTTTTACTTGGTCGCCCTCGTTTCACTACACATTACCTTTGTTATTTCAAGGGTAGTTGTTTCTGAAAAGGAAAACCCCAACTTTGCGGACACCCTGTATTTATATAGAGCTGGCAACGTTGCGGGATATTAATGCACAATGCACAATCTGGCAACTATGTTGCACCCTCAAAAAATGGCCGCTGACAACCACACAAGTCACCGTGTTGCCATTGAATAGCAATCTTCAGTGTATATGTTTTGTGAATAATATCATGGATAACTGCTGAGGAACGTTCTTCCTTGAACCATCTTAACCTTAATGCGGGGCGTAGGTCAAAGCCCCCAGTGCAGGACCCCCAAGAAAGAGGCCGTCCATAAAAGTCGAGAACCGACAGTTGGATGAAACATCCGCGTCGCGTGCGCGATCGTATCAAATTTCTGGAAAAAGGGGCAAAATTGGGGAGGGGGGGTTAGCTCGTTCGGCAGCACACACTGGGGGAATGCGCAGCGGCCTAAACCACGCCAAACCTTCGGGTGGGAGAGGAGGGAGGAGCAGATCGCTTTTCCCCCCACTCCTCAACGGTTTGAGGTTGCCTGGAACAGGGGTGGTGGAGTGACCGCACAGGGATAGGAGGGTGTGTGTGTGTCATTGAAATATCATCTTTTCAACCAGCATTGTTTTCTGTACTGTTTTGTCTGTGATTTTGTCGCCATGCATTAGATGTCGCTGTTGCATGCGTCAATGTCAATACTGTCAATATAATTGCTTTATATTCAAAGTTTGACATTTATTTGTAACCGTCTAACCGTTATATGAATGTTGAATTTTTGCAGAATTTTTCAAATTTAGATTCCAAGTCGTTCATTGTGTTCGTTATTAAACATGTATTTATTCATGTAGCTGTGTTACATCCATTTATATAATAACTATCTCAATATTTTATAGTAGACAGATTTTACTCAAAAATTGCTATTGTATACTTGAGAAAATGGCTACACTAAAGAAAAAAGGAATTTCCTCATCACTTCAGCACATATCCATGCAGAACATCAAAGTGGTAGTTAGAGTAAGGTAAGTCTAAGTATTATAAACATTCTAGGACCTGTACAATCTTGTGTTAAATTCAAATGGGATGGCACATTTTACCTATCAAAACCTGTTTATGAAGGTACTACAATTTCAAACATTCTCTATCATACTATCAAAACCAGTCACTCCAGAATGAAGTATTCCCTAGACATAATGCTGAATGAAATTAGTATGAACAGACCTTGTTTTCAGCTAAAAATGCCATTTTTGCTGTATTGCATGGTTGTTTCTGACTTGAAATGAGCCTCAGTATTTGGTCATCTAGAAATTTCAGATTGGTGAAGACATAATTCACATAAAACATACTTGGAATAATTTTTCTTTTTTTTTTTTGGAGATGTGCCTTTCTCTTATTTTTGATTGCAGAATACTCCACAAATGCTCGATGGGATTCATGTCTGGTGATTGTGGAGGGGCGTTCAAATATTTTGGTGTGTTATACATGATCCAGAGTTTCATATTCTTTGCTGTGTGTTTCGGGTCATTGTCTTATTGGCATATAAAGATGTTTCTCAGTCCTATTTTTTCAGCACTAGTCAACAAATGCTGCTTCAGTATGTCGATATACATCTTGTAGTCCATGATCCCTCACAAAGTGTAAATTACCCACACCAGATGAGCTCATGCACCCTCAAACCATTACAGAACCACCCCCATGTTTCACTGTTGCTTTCAAGTTCTTTGGATCTAGCTCAGTATTCTTCTGATGCCACACCTTTTGGCGACCATCAGAGCAGAGTATGTTGTACTTGCTCTTGTCAGTGAAAATCCTTCAGTTTCAGTACTCTAGAGGCTCAGTTTCATATTCCCGTGCGAAATTCACCCGCGTCTTGCGATTGACCACAAGTATCCATGGCTTCCACCTCGCTACTCGGCAGTGGTACCCATTTTCTTTCAAGGCATTCCAGACAGTACTCACAGATATATCAACACTACGCTTCTGCAGGTCAGCAGTTACCTTGGGAGTACTTAATTTGGAGTTCTTCATGATCTCCCGCATGAGAAATCTTGTGTCAGTATCGATTAGTTTTTGTGCATGTCTACTTCGGGGATTTCTTTGAACAGTCTTACGAGCCCCTTCCCACTTCAGTTGGCTCACTTCAAGATTTTTACCAAAATATGCCTTTATAAACTAAACATGACGAAACTATTTACTTCAAAAACAATTTATTTTCTCAAAAACATTTTAGATACACTCTAGTCGTAAAAAATACATATTTGAAATCACTTAGACCTATAACTAATAGAACATCTGAACAAATAAACAATGTGCGAATAAATGCGCGAAGTTAACAAAGCAACAATTGAAAGATTACCATTGGGTAAAATCACCTTTATTTTTTATTACGGCTGAAATTCTTTGGGGCATCGTGTTAACCAAGTTTTGGCAAAAATTTGGTGTAAAACAATCCCATAGTTCTCGAAGCTTTTGTCTCAGTTCGGTGATTGTACGAGCAGGATGTTGTTGTAGAACCTTTTTCATCTCGTGCCACAAAGTTTCAATAGGTGACAGATCTGGACTGCTAGAAACTCATTTCAAAAGTGGTACATTATTTTCTTCCATCCATTTTATAGCCTTTTTTGAGGTATGCTGCACCATCTTGCTGAAACACAAAATCTTGGCCGGATGTCAAACATTCTTCCATCACTGGTAAAAGCAATTCTTCTAAAATTGCCAAATATTTGTTTGTATCCACATTTCCATCAATAAAATGAAGTTTTCCTACTACTTTTGATGACATACTGCCCCAGACCATAATGGATGCTGGAAATTTCACTTTCCTCTTCAGACAGTCAACATGGAATGCTTCATTTTTTTTGCGAATAACTCTACTGCGACTATCACCAACACGAAACTTCGAATCAGTCCTCATCACTCCATTGTCTTGCACAACATTCGTCGGAAAATTCGTTCACTCATATCTTCACAAAATTGTAATCGCCGATCAAAATCGGCTTCATTAAGTTCTTGTATCAGGTGAATTTTATACATATGAAAACTGTGGGCCTTTAGAATTCCTTGGACTGTACGTCGACTAACACCACACACAGTCTCCAATTTGCGGGTACTTAACGTAGGATCTACATAAACTTGCCCTAAAACCCCAACTTCTATTGCGTTTTTTATTGGCGACTGACCCAGTTTCCCGAAATTTAGCTACAAGTTCTAGGACATATTTTAGATGCACGTTACTGTTCTCATGTCGCTCATTAAATATTTCTGCTGTTCTATTTGCGCACTGATTATTTTCGAAAAATATTTCGATAATTTCAACTCTTTCTGCTGTGGAATATACCATGGTTAATTTATGTAATAAAGCGTTACAAGTTATTTTAGCAACAAACTTTGGTCAAATCAATCGCAAACTATGTACTAAATTCCTATTTAAAATAAGTACGAGATATTTCCTGATCTTTCTTCAAGAAATAACTTTTTTGCCACAAGAAAAACGCACCAATAGCTATTTTCAACAACAAAGTGATAAATAAACCATGGGCGTAGTGAAGAAAAGCATTTATTTATTAAGTAAATTCTTTTAGTCAAATTTCTTCTGAAAGTAGTACAAACTAATCTGATGTACCTATTAAAGTCTACTTTAAGCTTTCAATCAATAAATCTTCAAAACTACTGAACTGAAGCTCATGTATTTTACATCAGTATAAAGGGAATTGAAAGACCTTTAAAATAAGGTATCACTCGACCCCCCTTTCCATTTAAGATTTTAGGGTTGGTGTCACCCCCACCCAGGGGGCTGCACGTGTTAACGTGATTTTTTGCCAAACTTGTGTCCCCCTCGAAAACAAAATCGACGGGTCTAAGCGTTTTTCCAAAAAAAAACTGAGCTGCCAGTAAATGCGTCTGTTTCGTTTTCGATGCGCCACCCCGTATATATATATAATAAACTGGTAAGACATATGAAATATTGTTATAAAAATTTACCAGATGACTTAGAAGGTTAAAGGAGGCTACAGGATCTCAGGTGTAGGAACACTGTTATACTTGCTAACAATCCGACAAGTCTGAAAAATTATTGCTCAAATACTCGTTGATCGAGTAAAATGCTTTAGTAGTCAGATAAGCATTAATTTTATTTTTAAAAACTTTCGCATCCAGTTTCTTTATACGGTCTGGCAACATTTTATAAAAAAATATCCCATAATAGTTTGTGCCATTCCTGATGGTTTGGAGACGGCTATGAGGTACTAAGATTTTATCCATATTTCTGGTTCTATAACTGTGGACAGCACTGTGGGTAGTATATTGGCTCAGGTTAGTCTTTATACAGGGTGTCCGCAAAGTTGGGGTTTTCCTTTACACGACGTGTAGATCTTGAAAACATAAGCAATTTTTCTTAGTACCATATATACGTACACCAATGTCTTAAGGGAACCGAGATAAAGGGCTCTGCAACATCAAAAATATCTGAATACCATCCTGTAGCCGCGACCCGCCGCGATATCTCCGACTGTTACAAGGTCTCAACCCGACGGCAGAACTGGGTCCGGGTCAGTGTGTCAGGTTAGTATGCAACCTTCAACCGAGGGTTACGGTCACGCGTGTAGAGGTAAACGAACTCGTATAATCGATTGCATTTCAAAAAACAACAAGGACTAGAGACGTGGCTAGAGAAGTGCAAGTATCAAAAACTAAAGTGAGGCAAACGCTGCGTGAAGAGGGGCTGTATCCGTTTCACGTCCAACGTGTACAAGCCCTTCAACCTGACGATTTTCCAGCAAGAGTGCGGTTTTGTGAGTGGTTGTTGCATCAACATGACAATAATCCGGACTTTGAAGTGCATATTGGTGACAGACGAATCTACGTTCACGCGTAATGGGGTGAATAACTTTCGCAACACTCATGTTTGGTAATTTTCAACAAACATTTTCGGTGAATGTTTGGGCTAGCATGGTGAACGGTATGCTCATTGGACCATTTATTCTCCCAAATCGATTGGACGGGATGCAATACCTAGACTTTTCACGCAACATTTTGCCTTCATTGTTAGATGTGCCATTAAGTGTAAGACAATCAATCTGGTTTCTGCGTCTGCTCGGTAGCGCTTCAGCTGATTTCATTTTCTGTTGGAGCGGTATGATTTCGGGCAGAAACGTACTTAGCCCTTCTCGTCAACTGGAGAGTGAGTACTTTACTTTTTCCTTTATTTTTTTTTTACTTGGTCGCCCTCGTTTCACTACACATTACCTTTGTTATTTCAAGGGTAGTTGTTTCTGAAAAGGAAAACCCCAACTTTGCGGACACCCTGTACATGTCGTAGCCAGATTATAAAACCTGTCGTTTTATAAAACGCCTAGTCGTTTCATAAACGGCGGCCAGATTGTCAGATATTAATTATCGATTCATTATTTTGCTATCTGGCTAACCATTTTATAAAACGACTGGGCGTTTTATAAAACGACGCTGACTGCTTGGCCAGATTATCAAACGCTGGAAAGATATTCATCGTTTGACATTGTGGCGGGTGATGCATAAGAACGGCGGCAAGCATAAGCCAGATTCTCAAATTTGACCCATTTATTATTCTGGCGCGTACAAAGGTGTTTAGTGTCTACACTGTCTGCGGATTCGCATATTTTTATGGTTTAAATGGTCAAAAATATGGACCCTGTTAAAGTAGCAGCGGCGGGAGTAGATAAAAACTACTTTTATTCCCAGTTAGAAGAGTTTTATAAAGGTAAGTAATGAGACCTAACCAGTGGTCCATGTTCCAATAAATGAATTTTTTTTTTATAAAACTTGTTTTTTTTTTATTTGAGTAAACTTATGTAAATTTACATATATAAGAATGTTAATTGTTTGTTTAGTTTTGTATTTTTAGTATTTTTCGTTAATAAATAATAAATTTTCATTAATTTGTTTTATTCATAAAATAAAGCGTATTAAAACATTCCTTTAACTGTCTTATAGCTACGAGGACAATTTTGATACCTGCTTAATGCTGCCAAATATGTATGTTGATATCAATATATTTTAAATACAATTCGTATTTTACAAACCGACTGAAGTACTTCACCCGCAAGAATGTTAAACGTTGAAAACATTACCGTTTGACATTCTGGCAAAGTAGTCACGGTCGTTTTATAAAACGTCTAGTCGTTTTATAAAATCGCTAGCCAGATAGCAAAATAATGCATCATTGAATGAAAATTTGACAATCTGGCCGCCGTTTATGAAACGACTAGGCGTTTTATAAAACGACAGGTTTTATAATTTGGCTACGACATATACATCAGACATGTGAAGATGTAAAGAGAAGGTACTGTCATGATTTTCAATTCTATAAAAGCTTCCTTGCAAGGTTCCGTGTATTTCAGGCCAGCAATGTACCGGAAGCAACCTCGTAATCCAAATACTTTTGACCGCCGAGTGACCCCAGTTTAACAATGCGTATGAAATTCTTGATTGAAAGTAGGAATAATATGTTAGAAGAACTGACTGAGAGATATTTTGCTAATGAATCGAGAACATGGATTACGCGAGTTTCCCACGACAAGTGTTCATCAAGGTAGACCCCCTAGTAACTTCACGGACTTTAGTGTATTAGTGTCGTGCTGCCTCAAGCTAAGGATAATCATCTGAGACTTGGTTTCATTGATGGTCAACTTATTAGTGGCTAACCAGTTTGCTGGATTATTTTTATGAGCCTCACAGTCGAATATCACTGAGGTTAAAGAGGCATTGCTATTCACCAAGGTAGTGTCATCAGCGAATAGGATTAAGTTATTATTCACATTATAGTTAGTCATATCATTGACGTAAATTAAAAATAAAATAGGTCCTAATACCGAGCCTTGCGGTACCCCGTGAGCAGCGACTAACTGTGAGGGAGGATGATGAACCTTTAAAGAGTAGAAATTGACGTCGATTACTCAAGTATGATTTAATCATTACAGTGGATGCTTCATGAAAGTTATAAAAAGGGGGCTTTTCCAACAGGATGTCGTGTTGAACACAATCAAAAGCTTTGGATAAGTCCAACAAACATGCGGCGCCACAAACTAAATAAAACTGTTAATAGCTGATGTGGTGGAACTATTTTTCCTAAAACCAAATTGTGTTGAGCAAAATAAATTGTAAGCCTCAAAGTATTCATTAATTTGATTTTTCAACAATAATTACAAAATTTTCGCAAAAATAGGTATTAAGGAAATGGGCCTGTAGTTACATAACTCTTCAGTATTCCCTTGTTTGAAAATGGGTATAATTTTAGATAGTTTGAAAAAATCCGGAAAAGTACTACTTTCTATACATTAAGTGAATAACTTGGTTAGAGGATATGTGATTAGATTTTGCAAGATTTTGACAATCCTGACAGTACACACACATCATGATATGTAACTTCCCTGAAACGAAAGTGTGAACTACGAATAGGATGATTCATATAATACGATGTAGAAACATCGGATGGGGTAATTTTATTTAAAAGTTTTTGTGGGATATGGGTAAAAAAGTCCTTGAATTAATGTGCTGTGAGAGATGTTGGAGTCCTGGTTGTGTGCGTTCGATTTAACATTCCAGGCAGCATGTTGTCTGTTGTTGGTTTTATTAATGTAGTCATCATTGTCTTTAACCTTAGCTTTGACAATTTCTTGTCTGTAACTGTATTTAAATATTTTCAAGCAGTCCGTACTAACTAAAGTAGCATCGTCTTTATGAAGCTCTGTTAGGAAAGTCAAAGTCTCTCTCATATTTCTTATATGATCATTGAACCAAAACACATTACAGGAGCTTTTATTACGTATCATGAACAAGTCGCGATTTTATAGGAAGATGTTGATTGACAGAATTTCTGACAATTTTCTCGACTTTCGATTGTCGTACTTTTTTCATTAACAAATTCGAAAGATGTTGATTCCATATCATTGCAAAGTTTGAAAAGGCCGGTGTTTGTTATAGGTCTATAATAGATTTTCCTACGTATTTTCGGTTCATGTGATAAATTCAAAGTATAGTTAAGCGCTAAATGATCTGAATAATGAGTACCTATCAAAAACATTAACGCTATTTTCGGAGTCTACGTAGTTTATGAAGATGTTATCTAGACAACTTGAGTTTCTTGTATTTTGACTAACTATTGGCATGAAACCATAACAACTACTTAAGTTCACAAGCTCATGAGCTTGGTGTTGTAACGTATTAAATCTAACATTGAAATGTCCTGCTATCACAATTTGTTTGTCGTAATCGAGTCCATCCATTAAACGACAAAGTTTCATAATAAGGTATTAAAAAATACCATCAGGAGATCGATACAATGAGATTAACTGAAGATCATTCACATTTACTCCGGCCGCCTCAAAGTGTAGTTCTTCTGACAGATTCAGAAGGTTATCTGATAGAGGTACTGCACTAATATGATTTGCTGTATAAATGGCCACACCACCACGAATTTCCACATCCCTACAGAAACTAGATACAGATCTAAAACCAGAGACATGATAATACGATAACTTATCTTTTCTTAACCAGTGTTCATTTATAGAGAACATATAACTACATGCACATATATATGTATATATGTCGCATCCTGTATATGTATACAGGGTGCGCCATCTTTTATGTCGGTATGTAAACATGAAATAACGTTGAAAACGAAAAACTGATTTCTATATATCGGGTATTTTTATTAAATATGGTCCTTTAAAATTTATTGGGACTAGTTTTTGAACACAACATCTATCAAGTGGATACCTGTATTAGCCAATTCAAAATGTGCCCGTTTTCCATTACTTTTTCGAGCATCTCTGGTCGTGATTACGGTACGAATGTTTGCCTTGAGTTCTTCAGTGGTCTGGGGCTTGCTGGCGTACACTTGACTTTTCTAATAACCTCACAAGAAGAAGTCCGGTGGGGTCAAATCTGGAGACCTGGGTGGCCAGTCAATGTCACCTCTTTTTGACTTCAGACGTCCAGGGAATTTTCGTTGCAGAAACTGGATTGTTTCATTTGCAGTGTGGCATGGCGCACCGTCTTGTTGAAACCAGTAACCATCAAGACGTTTTTCATGCATTTGTGGGCAGACATAATGAGCCAACATCCACCGATATCGATTTCCATCGACTGTTTCGTTTTTGTTGAAGAAAAATGGCCCAATGATGGTTTTGGCGTAAACGCCGGCCCAAACAGTCACTTTTCGGTTATGCAACGGCATTTCGTGGATTTCATGTGGATTTTCCGTCCCCCAAATGCGGCAGTGTTGCTTATTAACGTCGCCAGAGAGCTTGAAATTGGCCTCGTCGGTCATCACAATTTGCTTCCAAAAATCAGGTTCAGCATCAACCATGCGAGCGACTGTTTGGGCGTATTCCAAGCGAGGTGGTCGGTCAGTTGGCAATATTTTTTGTGTTAACTGCACCTTATAAGGAAACAAATGCAAATCACCCTTCAAAATGCGCCGCAACGTGGTTCCACTGATGCCATAATGCTGAGCGCGGTGACGAGACGGCACTTTTGGGTTCTGGGCAACGCTGTCTCTGGCCGCTTAAACCAATTCATTGGAACGTCTTGGTCGTTGATGAACGGTATGTTGACGATCTCCCACTGTACCGTACTCAAGAAAGTTAGAAGCCAAATGACGGATAGTGTTGTCAGACGGTGCCTGTTTGCCACGATATTTTCGACGATATGCACGTTGCGTTAACACAACTGAACGACGATTTTCAATGTACATTGTGACTATGGGTGGTATTAATAAAACGTGAGTACATGCTCTTAGTACGTGCTTAAGAAGAAATTGAGTAGATTGTAAAAAAGTGAGCATGTACTTACATTTGGTATTAATAAAATTTTGATGTAAAAATGGAGCACCTGCTTCGGCCATGTACGTGCTCCAAATAATACCGCTGGCTCTGTGGATATTTTCGAGTTTCGACAGGTTTTTTATAATAAGCGTGCCGCATCGCGATATTTAGTGCGATAGGTCCTATCGGTGAATATATTTTACAACAATGGATACAGAAGAGGATACCAACACCAACGGGAGAACTTGTGAAATGTTAAGTTTTGTTAGTATTATTGAAAAATTTCCCGTAGTTTTGGAAAAGTCTAATATACCCGAGATTAAAAAAAACGGCGAATGCAATAGAAATGAGTGAAGCACAGATATGGAAAAAGTTAAACAATCTGAAGGCTAGAATAAAAAGAAAGACTGATAAAAATTAAACAGGAAATAAAAAGATTCAACTAAGAGGATGGGAAGCTAAATTCTTTACATATATGAAAGGAGAGATAAATCCTTCAATTGGGAGAGTAAAAGGTAAATCTAGTGTGTGCAAAATTCATAGTATTTAATTAGCAATTTTTACAACTACGAGTATAGGAGAGTTGCGCCAGAGTAGAAATGTTTATTTTAACGAATTTTTTAACACGAATTTAAAAAAAGCTAATTGAGATAAGAAAATCTATAAAGGGCCTTGTGGATATTTCTGTGGGTGTGCGAAAGTTATTTTTATTTAAAACGAATAATTTTAAGTCATTCAAAACAAATTGGAAAAATAGGATAACAATTCGATTATTCGTCTTTACATTAAAATTATCTATTGATATATAGGGTCAGTATTTGAGTCAAAAGTTGGTCATGTGTTCCATTTATTTTCAAGCGTAAATTTTATGGCGTATCCCCTCTTAAAGGCAAAAAATATATGTTTCATCATAATATAATACGTATGACGAGAATTGTTAAAGTATCTCCTAATACTGCAAAGGTAATATGTTTCAGATATATTTAGTTGTTATTAAGGTAACTAAAAATACATATTCTTTTTAGGAGCAATTTCTGCTGGTGTAGGAGCACCTAGGACGGAGACCGAAGAAGTCAGTCTTGACTGTGAACAATATGAAAACCAGCTAGAAGAAAATGGCTCCTTTATAACATCCGTTGCGGGGTCTTTTGAGAATGCAAGTTCCAGCTCTGCATTGCCTGGAACATCAGCGGCGTCTTCTACAGTGCGCAGACCTGTAAAAGAAGCATCCTTGAAAAACCAAAAACAAAAGGAAAAATTACCAGAAACAAATGAAACTAGACACCTTAGTACACAAGAACTTCAACGATTGGTACTTTTGGAACAACTGCAAGTCTTTAGTCTTGCAAAGGAAATACTACTCCAGAAAAAACAAGATCAGGATAGCCGGCAGGATAATTGCGATAGTCAAGGAGAAGTAACAGAAGCACAGGGAACGACTACATGCAATCTAGAAATTCCTACTTTCTTTAATTTAAACTAAATAAAGAATTATTAATAATTTGATCATTATGTTGTTGAAGTTTAACCAAAAATACAATAATAATATAGAAAACAGTGTTGTTTCTTTTAAACCGGGCATAGGCTACCTTTTTTTGTTCAAAAAGGTAGATACATACCTAGTTTCCAAATTCAAATTTTACAGAATGATGCAACAATTCGTGAAAATATTTTTTCCAGCATTGCTAGTTTGTGCAGTAGCCATCAAAGTAATATTTTTTTAAATTGCAACATCGCACTTCTTTTTAATATTTTAGTGGATATTGTAATTCTGAACAAAAAAGTATAGTAACATTTTTTAATTGGTGCGTCCGTTTTCGCTCAATTGCTTAAAAAGGACTAAAATAAACCAACTGAAAATACACATTTATTCAGACAATTGTTTTAATTGTTATTGAAATTGGACCAATAAATGCCAATCATAATACCCATACATAAGTCTTTGTCGGAACCGTTTAATTTCCTCAAAATGGAAAATACATTTATTTTCAGATTATTTTAATTAGTGATCCAGCAATTGAACGAAAACGAACGCGCCAATTAAAAAATGTTAATAATTTTTTATTCAAAATTGCAATGTCTGCTAAAATACAAATTGGCAAAGACGAAAAAAAAGCTTTTCCGAATTTTTCTTAGTTGCATCATTTTATAAAAATTGCTTTTGAAACTAAAAAAAAATACTGTTTAATATTATTATTATAATTTCTTAGCGAGGATTTCTGTATGTGATAAAATATTAACATAAATCAGACTAAATCAAAAATATTATTTATATTTCTACAAGACTACTTTTTACAAAACGTAAATACTGGACGTTTTCAGAAGTTCTTGTTAGTGAGAGTTTCCTGTATATATAATATAATACAAAATACAAATACCACTTAACTACTAATGACGAAAACCATGAATTATTCTTGCTATTTCGTCTCTTCTTAATTGTCCTCTCTGGCGCACAACTGCCTCACCGTATTCTACAGGCATCTGTACAGCTTCATCACCATTATTGTTGAGATCTTGCAAGATTTCAAAATTTTCAAAATAATACGGATGTGAGTGCAATCAATTGCGCCGATAGCGGAAGGGAAATTGTATTTTTCTTTCCATTTATATTTCTCTTGCTGCAATACTTCTACGGTTGATGGAAACTATCCATACATTTGATTTTCGTACTATACTATTCATTACTGCTGCCACTGTTACAGATACCGTTGTCTGGTGTACACCAATATCCTCACCAACACCACTTTGACATCCCGGGTCGCCAACGTAACGAAGAAAAATTCTCATTTTCTCAGTAGATGTTAGAGCATTACCTCTGTTTTCAAACTCATCTCCTAAGAAATGTTGAGCCAACCATTCCACGTTGTTCTTATTAAATCTATATAATACCCGATAGTCTAATTCCGAAATTCTCTCCGAACTTTATAATGCTTTCTGGCAACATGAATAGGCATAAATTCAGCCATCGCGTCTGATAGTACGTTTGTTACTGATGCTGAGCATCCTATCCAGATAACTTAAAATTATTTGAGTAGCTGCTTCATCTCGTTAGCACATGCTCCTGTTTATTCATACCGAAACTTAAGCAGATGCTCACTTTTAAGAACATACTTACAAAAATAGTAGGTGCTTCTTACTTGAGCACCTTCTTCATCATTTTATTCATACCAAGTGAAGTACGTACTCCAAAATTTCAAGTAAAAAGCAGGTGCTTAACTTTATTAATACCTATTTCGGCGCGTTGTTTCCGTGTAAAGCGATTCATGACTAAAATTGTAGTAAATTGAAGTTTCAGAAACACGTATAACCAAATCACTCGGTTGGTAAATATCAAAGTCATTCGATGTTTCAATACCGACATAAAAGATGGCGCACCCGGTATTATAAAATTAGTACGCTTAACAACCAAGCATCTCTGTGGGTCAAATCGAGTTAGGGTCCGATTCAACAGAGAATATTACTATGTTAGTATTAAACCTAACCCTCATAGCGTATATATAATTTAATTGCATACTACTGTACATAATTTTGAAAAATAAATATAAATTGTTGCTACATTGTTGCTCTCGTCCGATCGCCGAAGGAAGCAGCGTCGGGCGCGGTTACTACTTGGATGGGTGAACGCTTGGGAACACCACGTGTCGTCAGATTTTTCAATTTTCATTTTTAGTCTACAGTTTTGAAATATTCTAGTACTGTTATTTCCTCCAAGGGGCGAATGCTTGAAACAAGGGGGTAGAATAAGTGTTAGAAAGTAGTTGTGGTTCTATTAAATTTTGAGAAACTGTATTCTTCAACACTGATAGAAGGCTCACTTTCTCAAGAGAAAAAACACGGAAATCTCACCATCGTTCATCAGTCCCATTTCTAATAATGAACTTAACTTTCTGGTTAAAAATTTTAATGATTATGAAGAACGCCAGGAACATATTGTTTTTCTTAAAATGGATGCATTGATAAACTTACTTGATAAACATTAACAGGTGTCAGAATTTGAGATCATTTTTCATGGTACATTCTATTCTACTGTCAATTCCTCCCCTGGATGTAATACCAGTGTTCAAAAATATAGCCAAGATTATTGCAAAATTTGTACAAGATTTCAAATATTAATTATTCATTGTTAGGATACTTTTATCATAAAAATGTTAGTCATGAATGAGAAACTCGTCACTATTGAGTTCTGAACTGACTGACATTCTATTCTACTACAGAATACTACACTTCAAGAGCTTCCATATTGATGTTAACAATGTATAACATAATTTATTACTTATATAATGTGTTTTTTTTTCTATAATTATAGACCCATAACACACAATGAAGAAGAACAAAATGTCAAAAACATTGTCAAATGTCTAACGCACAAAGAGATTCTAATGAAAGAGAAAAAGTATTCATTTGATAGAGTATTCAAACCAACAGCCTCTCAAATAGAATTATATATAAATGTGGTAGCTCCTCTAATCAAGGATGTGATTAGTGGATATAACTGCACAGTATTTGCTTATGGACAGACAGGAACTGGAAAGACCTACACCATGACTGGCGACAAGTGTTCTATCATCAAGAACTGGAAGGAGGTAATTATTATGTTTTTGGAAATATATTTTATTTAAAATTGGGTATCCAATGTAAATTTTATCCATCATTGCATAAAATTCAATTCATTAGCGGTCTATATACGAGTGGTACGTTGTACAGATCAGATCTGCAGATTCGATGTTACTCTGAATGAGATGAATCGGTACTAACTATATAACGATCGATATAGGATTTTCGCCTTTGCCGATAATCAGCGATACTGATATATCTGCCGTTCGCTTCTTTCCGTACACTATAGGCTGTATTTTGCTATAGTACAAGTTTTTTGCACCGGGTGGGTCAATAATAAAGGACGCCGGCTGTATCTCGGCAACGGATTAAGCTAGAGCTAGCATTTTGTTATGAAAGTGGCCAATAGAAATTGCTGCAAATTATTTTCAGCTTCCTGAAATGGCCACTAGGTAGAGTAACTCCAATTCTAAACCTTCATACGCCATTGCTTTGCAAAAATTCATATTTAGCTGATTGCTAACCTTCTTGCTTACGTTAATTTTGCGACAGCCGTACGTTTTCCGCTTGCATACCATTTAATTACTAGAGATGTTCATTCAAGTCGGGTTCATATCACGGGACACAAGAGACTTGCATATCAATTGGTTTTAGGATGAAGATGCAGGCATCATTCCTAGAGCAGCTCATCACCTTTTTCACGAATTGGACAGAATGAAAATAAATCAATATACTATTAAAGTTTCATACATAGAGCTATATAATGAGGAAATTAGAGATTTATTGAGTAATGATGAAAACGCCTTACAGTGAGTATTTACAATTTCAGTAGTTCTTCAAACGTCGAATAATTGACCTATGAGTTTTAAGGAGTTTGGATTATATTCCAGAAATTAACAATTCCTTGTAATTATAATAAATATTGAAGTATATACACTGAAAACCAAATTTGTCTGACGGCTTGAGTTCAATGTGTACGAGAGTGGAATATTTCGATGCTCCGCTAATAGTGTAAAGGCGAGTATTGTTACTCCAACGTATTTTGAATTAGACACATCGTCGCTTATGTTGTAACACCAGAAACTCAAAACGTATGCATTTACTTGAAAAAGCCACCGTGATTGCCGGAACGTCATCAGTAGGCAGTATTAGCGTATGAGGTTTCATTTGCGGCTAGACAAACATTATAAGATTATTCGATAGCGAACAAAGACCCACCGTTCTTTTTGCTCTCCTAAAAAGTTGTTGGTTTTAAGTTACACGGTGTGGAACTCTTTTTATTGAACAACTAAATTTTTGTGATTCATGAGTGGGTAGTACAAATAAAAAAAAAAAATACGATACTAATTTGTCATTCAGTTTTAAATCCTAAGTCAATGAGCAATGGCAAAAATTCCCAAAGTATTTTGAGTTTTATATTTTTATGTCGTTTCATGATATACCCAAAAATTATGAATTCCTTGTTCCAATATCGGCTGTAGATTATTTAAGTATGTTGCTAGAGAATTTTTTTTTACTTAATTTTATACTCTTCAGTCTACACTATTCATTTTCACTGAAACATAAATACGAACATTTAAAAAACAAAGTGATTGCTTTCATCTAAACACTGAAAAAGCTTTTAGGATGTAAGTACAAAATTTGGACATTCTGCTATCTTTTCTGGTTACTTTTAGCGCCCTTATACCCATTTTCAAATTTGTGACCATAGAATAATCAATTCCAAGCTCTGTTAGAATCAGTATAGCAGTTACACAGTGTCAAGGAAACCAGAACGACAGGTTCACCTATTCTTCAGAAAATGCTGTTTATCATATACCCTTTAGTCAGTAAAAATAATAATATGGATTACCCTATATACACAGAATTACTCTATAACATGCCAAACTACGCATTACTCTGTAGAAATCAATTAAAAGTACTGAACCCATTCAGGTGTTTCAACCCTTCTTCTCTTTTCCTATCTCCGATTCCTTGGTAGCCTCCAGGCAGTAAATCATAAACAAAAAAGCCTATTGTATAGCGGCATGTGTGTTGGTGTATCTATCCAGTTGAAGGGTGCATGTAAAGCTAGACGTAGACGCTAATAATAGGTTTACTAACTATGGATATTCAAATTCTTGATTCCGCCACAATCATAATCAACTGTCCCTCTGTGTCTCTACCCACACCCGCCGATACACGACGCGAATCCATACCGAAAATCTCCCAGCGTTTGAAAAGCTTGATTCCAGCTAAGGTCTTTAATTTCTTAGCTTTCGTCTTTCACCCATAAGCAATTCGTGGTAGAATAAGTCGCGGCGGTTTTTAATATAAGGATATATCATCTTTCCTGTTTTAAATCATCGTAACACAAGAGATGAAAATATGAAATATATACACTCCTTAAAATGTTTTGAAGGGTACTCCATGTAAAATTTCTCTAAGAATTCTGGTTGCAACGTTCAAGACTCTTATTGTTATTGTAACCTGTTTATCGCATGCCCTTTCGGTAAACTTTTGCGTGTATGTTTAACTTTAGCGGTAGCACTGTCAGGTGGTTATCAAATGCCAAAAGGAGGAAGAAATAACCCGACAATAAATTATACTCGAAAAAAGAGGGACGCTCTACATAAGGACAGGTCGCTGTGTGTCATGCCCCCTGGATCCCTCATTGCCGAGGGTCTGTTTAATAACTGGTGAGACCCAAAACAGGGATTGAGAGATGAATTTTTGAATGGCAGGGGTCAAATATTTGGTATTCAATAGACAAGCCAAAAAGGCAAGTTGCGCATACAATAAATTATAATCCACCCGTTTACTGTTATAATATATGTATATAGTGGTTCTATAAAAATGCGAGTGATTATAGAGATAAATAATATCCTTCAAAATACAGACAAGTAATAAATCAATCTAGAATTCTCAAAAAAAAAACAGTTTCCGTATAAATTCATAAACAAAAGTAATAAATAAACAAAAACAGTGTTTTTTGAAATATGAATATAAAAAATGAAATACGAGCGAAGTAGCGGTCTGAAATACAAAATAGATTTCCAGTATACAGTGAAAATGTTTATATAGCATATACTGAAAAAAATCTCCGTCCCAGTCCCCAAAGTTGGGAATCTGATTTCAACGCAAAGCCTGACTAAGTAAGTTTTCCAAGAAGCTTTGTGAAAACAGTTTAGCTACAGTTTGCTTTCGGTGTCAACAACACGAAAATGAACAAAAAATCAAGCTGAAATTTTTTCTTAGGATGCGATTAGAGGTAATAATCGCCAGCCAATTTTCGCAGCAAGATACAGCAATATATAATAACATTTTGTGCAAACTGCATAAGCGTGCCCGCTGGTTGTTCCAATTTAAAAGAAATATTTTGTTACTGGTAATATTTTTTGACTAAACAGGATAATTTCTTTGATTAATGCATAAATATGTAAATTAAATCAAGGACTTATTAATTTTCTATTTACTTCGATCCCGCCGCATGGATCCGTGCAATCCCAAAGATATTAGAGAGAAGCGCGGAACTCTTTGACCTAGGCCCATAGACCCCACGCCTCTGTTTCTGTTGTGGTATGTGCACACTGGCGTATTCGTGGGAGGGATTTTGGCTCCTACGAGTCTCCCTTCCTTAGCGCCACAGCTCATTACGCGTCTCCTACATAATACAGCATGATGCCTGTGAAGTGTAGCTCCCTGGGCTAAGCAAGTCCCCTCCCCCTGCTCTGCAATTTTCAATATCCAAGACACACCCCTACCCCGCCCCGAGATGGAATTCTTCCTAATCCTGGAGACTAAGCCTCGCCCAGATTTTTTTTCTGAATAACACCTCTGGTTGAGCAGTATCTCAATATATAGGAAACCATTACCATCACAAAATCAACCACAATAGTGGCACGCCTAAAAATCACTTTTCCTGGAAAACCAAAAATTCTATATACTTGGATGTCGCCTTAAAGTGGCTGAACCTACTCGTATGTCTACAAAGCAGGAAGCATGTAGATCAGAATGCAGTTTTGTAAAGACGCAGAAAGTGGTTAAGCTAAATACTGGTGAAACACTTTTCATAACTAATGAAATTAGTAGCCAGAAGGATAAATAGTTCATCTCGTAATCTAAATGTTTTTCATGCTTACATTTTCTATACGTGAATATGTTCGGTAGCCTGGCACTTCGGCTTGTCTATTCAATACCGAACATCTGACCTACCATATCAGAGTTAATCAAACAACCTGCTTCTCCCTGAATATTGAAATTTGAAAGAAATATTTTGCTCTCAAAAGTCTGGCGATATTTTACCAATAAAGATGTTATCTGCTTTGAACATCACACCATATTGAGAATTTAATTAAGCCTACACCTCATCAACAGCAATGGCCCGCCGCCACTGGAGACAACCCAACCAAGCCGCGCGCCCTTAGAGAATGCGGTTCCTTTTGTCTATAATTTATAGCTCGGACATTACCTTCCAGTATCAATCATGCTTTTTAGACCATCTTCGGCGTTAATACAACGTTGCAATTCGTTTTTTTTGAAGGCGAGATGTATGTTAAGAGGAATGTAGATACGGAGATATCAAACGAATACAATGGTGCAGAATTTGTGGCGATCCTGACCTTTTATTTCGTTACCTAAAATGGAGCGCCGTTAGGACCTGTCGGCACGGCTATTATGTAAAAAACCTATAAAACGTAAAAAAAATGTCATGTTGCAGGTAGTTTTTAAGGTGCAAATACCACGTTTGCTCACTATGATCACTGTCAGCGTCCAGCTATGGAGGAATGATCAAATAGACGCATTGTTGGTTGCAGAAAGCAAGTATATGTTTTGTGAAGGCCTGTAGTATGTAGTGCTTATCTGAGAACATGTGAAAGAAAGAAAGTTGGTTGAGTAGCAAGATGGCATCTAGATGATTATGTGTATTAGTCTAAACTCAGTCATATTTGCTATGTGAGAAAATTATTACTGAATATGCTGAAAATAAAGTATATCTATTAGCTGTGTCCGACGGGTTATTTATATGTTGTCCTTTCTGAAGAAACGTTATGTTCAAAGATATAAATTACGATTTTTCCCGTTCTTTCGTGTTTTCAAAAATTTTGAGGAGCATTACGAGAAATGGCCACCGTCCTCGCTTTGTGTGCAATTAAGCCACATCACAGAAAAATAGGAATAACGCATCACATTTCAACATTTTCGCAGTGCCTCACATCTGGGCGCTGATTTGTATTTTCTATTGACATCGCAAAATAAATTTCAATAAAATTTAAATGACTAAATACAAAATAATGCAATAACCTTTTCACTTTCATAAATATTCTTATCTGTAGCATTTTCTCACCAAGGGATTTTCTTTTCTTATCTCTCTCATTTGTTAAATTCATCAAATTTTTATTAGTAATTTCTAGGTTGAATAAGAAAAAGTGGATGCGCAACTAATTTCAAGGGTTGAATGCATCTCAAGTAACTCTATTTGAAACAAGAAACCAATGGAATTTGATCAACACAGAATATTAGCACATACATCCTCACTATGCACCTATGCACTTCCGTTTCTTTCCAGTTATAGTATACAACTTACAGCTTAGACCTCCAATATAATGCCATATCTGAAGCAGATGTTGCCTCACATCATAGCCAAACATTGATAATTGAAGCATCATGACGTTTAGGCAACACGTACAACTACAAAACGAGCTCACAATAAGTGTCCATCAGCTAGTGCTAAGTTAACATCTTGTAGAAAAACCTACGTTATGTCAAAAAAAGCAATATAATGTCAAAAAACACCGACATAATATCACTTTTCAAGATACATAATACTCGTGCGGAAATCAATCCTGAACTGATTCGTCTCAATTCACAATTCAAAAATGTTTACGCTCAAAGTAAAACCATTATTTGGGTGTAGAGAATAAACTAACGCATATTTTTAACATGCATCTTAAATCAAGGCACTGGTGTAACATATTGGCAAGGCGGCAGATTGTTCCGTCAGCGTTGCTAGTCAACGCGGTGATGAGCTTCACTATCCACGGGGCGTCTATCTCTTTCTAACATATGTGTCTATACACACTTGTCTCGCGTACACATTGAACTCAAGCCGTCAGACAAATTTGGTTCTTAGTGTAGATGTTTATTTTTTAGGCTGTACAATGACTCAAAAGGACTCAAAATAAATGGTCTGAATGAAGTGACATGTTTTAACAGTGCTGATGTCTGTAGAGAGTTACAACGTGGCATATTGAAGCGACAAGTTGCGCCAACTTTAATGAACCATCAGAGCTCTAGGTTAGCCAGTTTTCTTAATATTAAAAGTTTCTTTCAATAGAGTCTGGTAAAAGAAATATAGTTTTTATGGAAAACTTTTAGGTCCCACACAGTATTCACAATATCATTATCGACAACTGAGAGCAATCTGGCAGGAGAAGACATTCTGAAATATGGAAAGATAAACCTGGTCGATTTAGCTGGTAGTGAGAACATCGCGAAAGCAGGATGTAAAGATTTGAGAGCACAAGAGTTAGCTAATATTAATAAGTCTTTGTTGACGTTGGGTAGAGTTATACAGTCACTGGCTGACAAAAACCAGAAGCATATACCTTATAGGTGAGTCAAATAGATTGTAAATGGTAAACATATTGGTATTAGTCGCATTCGTATTACTAAATGATGTAATATTTCTTCAGAGATTCGAAGCTGACGAGGATTTTACAAGACAGTTTGGGTGGCAACACGAAGACCGTTATTATAGCAACAGTATCACCAGCTCATACTTCCCACGAAGAAACCGCGAATACATTAGAATATGCTATGAGGGCACGTGATATCAAAAATACGCCAGTTGCCAATGAGCAAACCAGCAAAAACCAGCTGATTGAAGAGTTGGTCAAGTACGTACCAATGTATACTCATACCTTAATTCTAGGGATCGACCGATACCGATATTCATATTAACGTGTAGGCAATATCAGCCTATTTTGTCCCCATATGGATCGGCCATATGACTTCCATATGCAGAAAAATGCGGGCTAATGAAATTACAAAGTTTCAATGATTAAAATTATTTAATCAAAAGATGCCACAATACATTGGGGTATATTTTCATTGTCTCCAGATAACTTTTTTAGTAACTTTCATAGAACAGAAATTGCGCTATCTACTTTTGAACTCATGATTGGAATTTTTGTCGAAATACCACCAGATGGCCGACGCTAGTGTTGGCATCTGTAGCATTTTAACTACATATACCGTGTGTTTCAAATTCGACCTTCACCATTGGGATTTCTTGAATGGGGACAAACTTGCGTATTTAGGTAACTGACAAACTGTAGCTTTTCAAACTTTCAAGTTCAAGGTACTTCCGGAGGGAGACGGAAAAAACTGAATCTTCCCAAAATCTTTTTCCTGACTTTTCTTTTTTACTGACTTTCATGGTTTTCTCCTCTTCAAGATGGGGTGTTCAAGTTTTCAATTCGAGATTTCTTCTTTTGATTTCCATCACCCAATTTTTTTTTATATGGACGCTATATTGGAATTTTGTACATTTAAATGCTACTAAGAATAAAAATATTACTTTGATTAAATATGTGTAGTTTATCGTGGTGTAAATAAATGTATTTTAGTGATAACTAAATGCAAAATTGAAAATTGTGTGTTTGATTGCCCAAAATTTAAATAGGGAGTTCATTAGAAATAAAAAAGTTGAGGATGGAGATCGAAAGCAGGAATGTCTAATTGAGAATTTGACTATGCCCTCTCACAGAGGAGAAACAGTGGCAGTGCTAATATGCAATTTATTAATAAAAATTCCAGTTCAAATAAAACCAGGAAATAACGCTTTTTCCATAAATCCGGTATATGAAACAAATGACTATCTGATGATTTCAAGGCCTACCTAGGAAATTCTATTTTTTTAATAACTAAGGTCTGGCAAGGTCCATGTATGACATTCTATATTTTTGAAATCAGAATTTAAAACTATAACACATGGCACAAAATATTTATCGGATTTTTTTTAATGAAGAAAAAAAAGAAAAACACTAACTAGTTATCATAAATTACAACTCAATGCTTGACTAAACTATACTATCGAATTAGGGAGTGGCCCATTCTGCTCTACCAGACGCAACTTTCTTCGATTGTCTCTCATGAGATCTTGGACGGAATTCAGATCAATTTATCTGTTTTTCGTAAATTCGCCGTCTTAATCTTCATTTTGGGTTTCTCAGCCTCCATGATAAACCTGCCTAGACAGTAAAGCCCAGAAATGCTCTATTGGGCGAGCCTGCAGCAATTTTGGAGGATTATCGTTTTTGGGGAAAAAAGGTATGTTGTGTTGTCGAAGCCAGTTTTGGGTATCTCTTGAGTAATGGCATAATGCTAGGTCTGTCCAAAAGATGATAATATGGTCATTAGCATGATGTTCGTGGATAAACTGAGGTAATTTGGAAAGGCAGTTTATCAATATAGCTTTGACTATCCAAGCTTCCCCCCTCACTCTTCCTACAAAAGGTTGGGAAACAAACCTGTTAGAAATTGCGCACCAGACAAGGGTTTTATCTGCAAATTTCACTTATGTTTGTATCTAACATTGTCAGGGCATTCATCTACGTTGTCCGTATAAAATCCGTCGTTTCCCTTCATTTCAGAGGTACTCTAAGTGAAATAATTTTTCCATTGGCAAAGTGTACCCGCCTCAGTTGACGACACCATCTTGCTAGAGGAAAGAGTTGTGCTTAGCATTTGAGGGACTTAAGCCTGTTTCGATATTTAAGACCATTCCTCCTCAATTCCAACGATATCGTACTCATAGAAGCCAGTCTCCTTGTTGACATTCCAACCTGACTTTTTGCTCTTCTCACCAATCTCTCTGACCTCTGAGCAGTAAATGCACGTGGTCTTCCACTTTTTGGGAGATACAGAAATGGTATTCCCTGCTCGTACTCGGCTATTGTTCGATTAATGGTTCTGCATTAAATGTTTTCATTCTGGATTATTCGACAGATTTCAGCTTTGGGTACCCGCCCAACCAACTTGTAGATACTTTTTCTTATTTCGAATTCATTCAAAGCGAAAACTTCAAAATAGATAAATGTCAACTGACAGTAAAGTAAGTAAATACACTTTTGTTTCCAAAGGCAACTTGATATTATTTTGTGTTTGTTAAAATCAAAGCCAATGAATTTTAAGTGAAAACCTTTAGGACATTATGTACAAAAATCCAATAGAGCGTCCATAAGAAAAAATAGAGCTGATACTGAAGGTGAAGAGAAATTCTAATTATACCATCTTACGAGGAGAATCTGCAATGTTAATGTGCAATTTATTTTGAAATCCCACTACAAATAAAGTCATGGAAAATTAAAACGCTTTTGGGAAAATTCTGATTTTTCCGTTTCTTTCCGGCAGTGTTTTGGATTTAAAAACTTTCTGAGCGGCATCTTGTTACTTACCTAAAGAAGCAACCTTGTCCCCATTTCAGCCACTTCGTATCTCTGTTTATATTTGATAGTATGATTGATGTGCTGAGTTCATAAGCTAGATAATACTGTGGTAGGGTGTTGCTCATTTTTGATCAACGGGTTAGTTCTTATTTCGCAGTCATTCTTTGCTCGAAACAGGATTCTTTTGTGAATCGTCAATCAAAGTCATTGCGCCTATCTGTTTTGATGCGTTCCAGCCAATAAACGAAAAGTGTCCCACCTGTGTTTATATCTTCGCTACCACTAGTCCCTCACCAACCCTCTGAATGCCTTAGGCAAGGCGCGCACTGAGATGGTGAGCAAGTGAGTGGTAGTGGCGCGGTGATCAAGTGGCAGGTGGAATCGCTAAAGCCTATATAAACAAATGAAGACGCGCGTATCAAAATGGAGTAGCGGTGGCGTGGCATTTTGTAGGTGGCGTGATGTCAGTCTGGTGCCACTAATCTCGAGCAAGTTTAATTTTCGACTGGCAAGGGGTTGGTGACGACGACGCGACGTGGGTTTTTGTTTACTTTTTCCTGGAGTGAATCACGCGAGACGACCACGAATTGAACATTAATTTTGTAGCCCTTGTAGAGGCATATCCCTGTCTGTATGACAATACACGGGAGGATTATCATATGATCCATGTGCAAGAACGGGCTTGGGCGAAAATTTGCAAAAGACATTGGGGAAGGAGGTAAGTAATAAAAAAATGTGGTTCCTTGAAAAATATATTTTTTTATTTAGTTATCTTTTTATTCTGTTAATATTGTTATCTTCTTGTTTTCATACACAAAATCGTTTTTGACCTTTAAGTGACCCGTCCACTGTTAAAAAAAAATCACAAAGTTTCTCCCGTGTAGCAATTGCTGGATTGGTAGCTCTTCTTTGATTTGAGAGTCTCGGATAAGGCTCTTCCTCATTTTCTACTTCTATGTCATCATCATTTCCTTTCTTTCCTCTCGGGCGCGAAAATATACCTTCCTCTTTTTTAATAAAATTATGCAGTAAGCACACTGCTTTAACAATATTGTCCACTGTATTTATATTAAGACCAATTGTTGTGTGTAAAATTCTGAACTTGGATGACATCATTCCAAATGAGCATTCAACTGATTTGCGACCTCTTGATAACCTACCATTGAATACCCTTTTTCTATTTGTTAAGCCTCTTTTAGGGTAGGGTTTCATTATAGTACACATCAATGGAAAAGCTTCGTCTGCAGCAAAATAAAATGGAAAATTTGTGTCTTGTCCTGGTAATGGAGATGGGTCTGGCAAGTCTAACGTGCTGTTAACTAATTTCATTCCAAAATTACTCTCTTTTAATGCCCTCCCGTCACTATTTCGGCCGTACTCACCAACATCACTGGTCAAGGAACAGCCATCTGCGTTTGATACAGCCATCAAAACAATGGAAAAATACCCTTTGTAATTAATAAATTCGGAACCTGATTTTGGTGGACGTTTGATCCTGATGTGATTACCGTCTATACTCCCCACACAATTTGGTAAATTCCATAACTCCCAGTATCTTCGAGCTGATTGTACCCATGTTTCTTTGGTAGGATTAGGAAGATAAGTTGGTTGTAGAACTTTCCAAATTACTACTGAAGTTCTTGCAATTATTTCTCTAATGGTAGTATGACCTCTCAAAAAATAACATGATAGTGCCTTTAGATTGCAGCCGGTTGCAAAATACCTGGAAAGAAAAATAATAATTAAGTAGGTACTTTATTTAACCAAACAAAGTGTGGAAGTGGTGGTTTTTCCCACATCACGGCATTTTGGTTTTAAAAATATAAAAAATTACATATTAATTGGCGTTATTTCACTTTTTTTAATAGTGTTCGAAAGCGTAAAAAAGTGAATATTAATAACAATATTATTAATAATTATAATAATAGCAAGCAATAAAGTAAACTTTACACACACATTATGCTCAGCACGCTTCATTTGTATATCTTAATGATGTGTTTTTATTGTAGCTACCATCGCAGATTGCAAAAAAAGGTGGAAGAATTTACGTGGAAGTTACACGAAACATTTAAAGACATACATGCCATCTGGATCTGGAGCATCGGTAAAACGCCCATACTATCTCTCGGAGTACATATGTTTTGTTTTACCGTTCACTAAGTCCCGCCAACCGAAAGGAAATGTTGACGCACCAAAGAATATTGAAACGGCCGATATAATTCATGAAGAATCAATTACGGAGGACCTAGAGACCGAAGAGCTTGAAACTCAACAATTATTAAGTCCAAAAATTGGAAATTACAAAAACAACCAAGGGAGAAATGACGATATTGATGATGAACAGTCGATTCCTGAAGAATTTAACGAGCCTGTATCAAATATTATTGTATCTCAGACAGACAGTTTGGAAAAAAATGATTCTGGAGATCCAAAGCAAAAAACACAAAAGAGAAGTGTATCCAGTTCGTCAGTACCTAGTGTAAATAATCCTAAAAGAAATAAAACTACTCCGAATCAAATATCTTTGGCAGATGTTAACAAATCTGCCTTTGAATTTTTTGAAAAAAAGAAGCAAGCACCATATAAACCACCTGCTTTCACTAATGATGATGCCGATGTGCAGTTTTTGTTGAGTCTATTACCCGATTTAAAAAAAATGACAGACAAGCAGAAAAGAAAATATAAAGTGGGAGTCCTAAATCTTGCCGGTGAAATCTTGGATGAGCCCGTAGTGTCTCATATTTCTGCACCTCTCTTCTCCCCAACGTCTAGTTATTCATCGCTTGCTGCAGACAGCATACCTTCTACCCGTTCCTCTTCAGCATATACCAGCTCTATTCGACCTCAAAGTGAGACAGCTGATTCGCGGACATATGAAGATATTTCGTTTTCAACAGTACGTCAGACATCCACACAAGCACAAGATACATTATTACCAAATATTCAGTATAATAACCCATTATTACCAGATCATGAATTTGCTTTTTAAGAATAATGTTGTACAATAAGTTTGTATTTGGATAGTAAATATATCTGTATTTATATTTTTTCATTGTACGTACCTCAGTGTTATTAGAACGCTTTCTTCGGGAGAAACACAGTTCCTGAAGTTCGTATCCTTTTTTTGAAGCATAGGCCGTAGTTTAGTCAGTAACTTGCTAAAAGTCTATTTCTTCATTCGATAGAAAAGTTTAAATTTTTGGTCGTCCAAGTTCAAATCCTTTTTATAAACATTAAAAATTCCAAACTTTTTATTTTTTTGCCACAGCGGATGAACGCAATGCCGTTTTTTCTTCGTCTCCTGACTTATAGCATTTAGACTAACAAGTTGCATAAATAAAAGGCCATCTTCATCTTCTGAGGACGACATGGTAAACCGGTGACATGAACTGACTTGTTTGCCACTTCAGTGCGCTTTATATCACTTTCATACCACTTCGCCGCTATTCCGATCGCCACGCCAAATTTTACCATCCCTATGCCTCTCACCACTCCAATACCTCACCACTACCACACTACCTCAGTGCGCGCCTTGCCTTAGTTACCGGCTGGACGCTTTGGGTCGCGCGCAGCATGTGTTTCCATTCAACGTGTTTTTTCCGTTCGTCGCATTTGTTTAGTGTTGAAAATGTCAGAGAGAACAGATCAACAAATTTGCATCTAGTTTAGCTTCATTCTCTGCAAGAGCTGTACGGAGAACGATTGAAGTGATACAGAAGGCCTTTGGGGACGAAATTATGGGCAGAACAGGGATAAAGGAGTGGTGCAGGCGGTTTAAAAATGATCGCACAATTGTTGACAGAGATTTTCGTCACACCGAGCTTGTGTGCCCTGCGATTGACGGTGATCGTCGATTGATTGTCCGTGAACTGGAAAATGATCTGGGAATACAGAAAACTACTGTTTGGGAAATTTTGACTAAAGTTTTTGGACTGACTCGCGTGTGTACGAAATTCATTCCAAAATCTCAACCGAGCAGAAAAATCTTCGCTCTGAAATTACTCAGGTCAACTTGAAAATGTCCTTTAGAAGTTATTACTGGTTATGAAGCATGAGTATATGGTTACGACCCTGAAACTAAACAACATTTTTTTTCATTGTGAGGGTGTTGTGAACGTCGAATGTGCTGCAAGAGGGTAGACGATAAACAAAGAATATTACGTTGAAGTTCTGAAAGGATTGCGTGATGCCGTGAGAAGAAAACGACCTCGTTTCTGGTCAAGCAGTGACTGTCTTTTTCAGCAATTTTTGCAGAAACACAAGATTATACATCTTCGCCAGCTTCCGTACAGTCCCGACATAGGTCCCTGCGACTTTTGGATGTTCCCAAAGTTGAAAATGGCGCTCAAAGGAAAGCGGTTCGACGACATCGGGGCGATTCAGAGTAATGCGACGCACGAGCTGAAGGCCATTCCAAACTCTGCGTTGGACTGATTTAAGATGTGGAAGCACTGCTGGTAGCGTGTAATGCAATCAAACGGGGACTACTTTGAAGGACGCCACGGCCCAGATGACGGAAGATTAGCACCAATGCGGACATATGAACGCAGATCGGATGCTTTTCGGACACAACTCGTATTCACCCATAGAGATGAAAGGCCGACATGCCAATATTACCGGCTTTTACATCGATATCGAATGAAAAGGATATGTTTGCTTTCCGTCTCCTGTAAACATGACCAACTGCAGACAGCGCTGTTTCGTGCTCATTAGCAACTCATCAGTGCGGTACAGGTCTTAGGTCTAGTCGTAGAAACAGACGAAACTGAAAGCAAATAAGTGGATGTAGTATTTTTAAAAATTTGAAATATTGTACGGAAGCATATAGAAATCTGAGATCACCAGCTACTAATAGTTTTGCCAAGCTTATAGACGATAGAGATGCCCTTACGCACTGTAGATCATACCGCTCTACGCTAAGTGTAGAGATATCGCACTGCACCATCACGGTCAACGTGTCAAGTGGTCGGAATACCAGGTATTCACAGAGCAAACCAGCAATGTCTTTTCTATGCATACATACATAATCGCTGTTTCGTGGTCATTAGCAACTCATCAGTGCGTTATCTGCGGATGATCATGGTTACAGGAAACGGAAAGCAAATATGATTATTAAGCATATACACTGAAAACCAAATTTGTCTGACAGCTTGAGTTCAATATGTAAGAGAGAGAGAGAGAGAGAGAAGTGTATATAGACTCATATGTCAGAAAGAGATAGATGCTGGCTGGATAGTGAAGCTCACCATCACCGCGTTGCCGATATGTTAAACCAGTTCCTTGAATTAAGATGCTTGTTGAAAATATGCGTAAGTTTCTACGCCCAAATAATTTTTCATTTTGATCATACAGATTTTTGACTTGTGAATTGTGTCGAATCTGTTTAGAATCGATTCCGGATCGGTTCTAAAGGTGCTTTATTTTAGGTCGAAATGAAAGGTCAGGATCAACACAAATTCTGCAACATTGCATCATTGGTTCGCTTGACAACACCGCATCTCGTACATTCCAAGGTAAGGTTTCCACCTCCATGATCATAGATGAGCGATTTTAGTCAGAACCCATCTAGCGCTCATTGGGGAGTGTCGTCCTGCTTAGGCAGTGATAATTCGAATTGCGTTATGGTTTTTGTTACATTTTCAGACCGCTCGCTGTCGCAAAATGTAACAATAACTCAGGATGTGTTGATTTTATCACTATCGGCGGTAAAAAAATGGAAACAAAATATTGAATTAAATGTTCGAACAGACCTCCTTCTTAGGTTTGACAATAACCTAACCTAATATAGAAGCCTGTGCGAACATTTTCTGGTGTGACATATTGGCAGCTTGCACGACCCTCTGCGTCACCGTTGCTTGGCAATGTGGTGATGACCTATCGCTCTTCAGCCGTCTCCTATCTCTTTCTAACATGTGTTGATACACACTTCTCGCGCGTCTCTCTTGTACACATTGAACTCAAGCCGTCAGACAAATTTGGGTTTCCCTGTTTGCATAAAGCCATTGCTGGTTTGCTCTGTGAATACCTAGTACTCCGACGACATGACGTCGACCGTGATTGTGCGGTGCGAAATCTCTGCGTTTAGCGTAGAATGTCGAGCGGTATGAGTTAGAATGCGTAAGGGCATCTAGTTCGTCTTCATCGATGATGAAAATCAGCTTTACAAAACCATAGGTAGGTCTCGATCGTCAGATTTCCATCTACTTGCGGACAATTCATCGATCTCAGCCGATTATATTATCGGTATCGGCGGACATCCTATATCGGTCAATCTCTACTTAATGCATTTTCCAATCTGCTTTGATGTTTCAGGGACATTGAAGTATTGCAAAGAGATCTAGACGCAGCTCGGGAGGGCACTGGCTTTTACGTAGATAGAGTCAACTATCAACGGATTGTCGACGCCGTATACGCTGTTACAGGAGAGGAATTTACTCATGATGAGATTGCAGAAAGAAAAGCGCAAAGAATTTCTAAATTGGGTACGTTAACAATTCCTGATAAATTGCAGTTTTTCCTTATATTCTGATCTTTTTTCAGAAAAAGCAATGCATGACAGAATTCAGGAATTTGAGAAAACAGTGAAGCAATGTAAAGAACAACGCGAGGAGTTGAAGAGAATTAAAACTGAAGTAAAAGAGAAAGAATATTTGGCCAACTGGTATGAACAGTATTCTACTGCAACATGTGAAGAAATACAAAACTTGTTAGATACCACACAGGTCAGTATGTGTAGCTCATACTTGTAAGTTACCTATGTTGCCTTAATGTTGATCGCGTTCATATGACTGTAATGATTTGTTTTGTATATATACTCATTTAATATACACTAAAAATACTAAATTTACTTCATTTGACAAGTAATTTATTTAATGTGGGAAAATATGCACTGAAAAAGTAATGTAAATAATGTTTTTTTGCAGACTTTAAACAATGAAAAAGAGATTCTGCTGGGTAAACTCGAAAATATGTTCAAAGCAAATGAATCTCACGTGACTATTGCCAGACAATCAGCAACTGCTGTGCTGTCAATGGTCGATAGAAATACTGCAGAAAAGGACAAAACACTAAATGCTATGGTAGAAGCAGGAATAAGAGCTAAAGAGAAAGCACGAGAATCCAGGTAAAAGAGTTTATTATGAGAATTTGATAACTTCACGAACAATTCAGCAAAAAATGTGTCAGTTAAATATATTATTTTTTATTGTAGATCAATTGTTCAGCCATTTATACTCAGTATGAAAAATACGGCCAATATTTTAGTTACTATGTCAGTGAATACGGATGCGGTTCAAAACGTACAGGAATGTGTTTGTAAGAAGATTGATATCGTTAGAAAAAGGTTTGAAATTTTGGAAAAAATGGGTGAAGAAACTTTGACAGCAATTCCAGTTTTAATGGAGCAACATAAGCAAAGAACTGAAGAGGTAAGCATGCTATCAATAGACAAATCAATGGCATTCCATATCGAGCACTTACTTCATGAAATGTCCAACTAAATTTGACCATACCGTTAAATCGTCAACGTTTAACTATTTGGTCATTCTCGATTGATCATATCCATAGAATATTTAACAAAACCAGAATATGTTACGAACTCATTTATTGTTCGTCAAGTAGGACAAACATTTTTATTAAAACTAGTAATTTTAAGAAATTAAAATAAAATAATTATATTATTATGTCTTAAAAAGTCTTAAAAATAAATTTTTGGATCAAATTATATATCACAAATTAAGTTATTACCTCGCGTGGTTACTCTACTCTCCTTTATTTGACGTATAACCTAAAAATGAAATAAAAATTGAGATTTTACATACGAGGAATATTCAATATACAAAAACAATATTTTAAGTGGCACATTAGTATTTGCGTGACCCACATAGTACTTGAGAACTCAGTCCCTTTTTGTTGTAAAATGTTTTAATTTCGCTTTCTTCCTCTTTCAGTAACGAATTATTAGAATTTTCACTTAGAAGAACCAGTTTGTTATCAACAGTCGTCGTGTTGAAACGTAAACAAAGCGCTCCCAGCGCCTCTTCGGTAATTGATGTAATTATTTTATGATTTGATCGAGCATGCTCGACCATTCCATTAAGTAGCCGCGCGTTATTATTGATCTGTTCAACGCATATCATGATCTGGCTAATATACAAGGTGTCCCAGAAATAACACCCCAGAGAGACACGGGAGGTAGATTGGCTTCAGATCAATCAGATAAAATCAACATAACCTTAGTAAAAGTTTTCTAGTTTTCGAGATATTGCAACTTTTAAGTTTTTTCAAAAAATCTAGGTTTTGCTCCTTTTTTCCCTGTTATGGCTATAAAGAACTTCTAACTTACGATTTTTTCCTGGGCTACCATTAATAGTTGGTTGAGACAACCGAGTATTCATTTAATTGAAAAGTAGTATGGTATGCTAAAAAAAACTAAATTATTATATTTGGTTTTAATGCGCATACCTTAAAACCTTACTAATTACCATGAAAAAAAAATGTACCAGACTGAATCATCAAATAACCTTAAAAATTAGCTATTTAATGCTCTCTCAAAAATGGTATAACATTTGTAGGTTCTTTTTACTAAAAACTGAATAATTGCAAGTTTTGTCATTGAAGTCCTAATACTTGCGGAATACTACAAATAAAAAATATTAAATGCAGCTGTCTTTTGTGTCCAAATTACAACTTTGTCGTTGCTGTAATCGCTTTTTATGTTAGCAAATGTCTAAAACAGCTATCCATTATCCTTTTTTATTCATTGCTGTATGCAGGCATCAAAATAATGAACATAACCCATTCGGTTGTATTTTTCTATTTCCATTGATCTTTTCACAACATTCAGGTGTTTCCTGCGCACCGCGATTACAGCAACTACAAAGTTGTAATTTGGACACTAAAAACAGCGGCGTTTATTATCTTTTATTTGTAGTATTTCGCAAGTATTTCGACTTAATGACAAAACTTGGAATTATTCAGTTTTTAGTAAAAAGAACCTACAAATGTTATACTATTTTGGAAAGAGCATTCAATTGCTAATTGTTAAGGTCATTTTCTGATTTAGTCTAGTACATTTTTTTTCACATAAATTAGTAAAACTAACTAGTAAAGGTTTTCGCATTGAAACCAAATGTAATAATTTGTTTTTTAGCATATCGTGCTAGTTTTCAATGATATCAATACTCGATTGTTTCAACCAACTATTAATGGTAGCCAAGGGAAAAACATAAGTTGGAAGTTCTTTATAGCCATAACAGGCAAAAAAGGAGCCAAAAGTAGGTATTTTTTGAAAAATCTGGCAATATCTCGAAAACTAGAAAACTTTTGCTGAGGTCATGTTGTTTTTATCTGATTGATCTGAGGCCAATCTACCTCCCGTGTTACTCTGCTGTGTTATCTCTGGGACACCCTGTATAATGATACATATCAAGAAATGCGACCATTTCATGAAATGGCATATTTTACGATATGGCCAAAACATCAACACGAGATTCACTTGAAAGTTGGGGCTTTCAATTGGTCTTTTACTCAAAAAACATTACACGTAACATGACCTCAACTTATCTGTGTCTATCCCCTCTGATGTCTTTTTTCAGTTTTTGGAAGCCTCAATCAAATATTGTATGAGACAACAGAACCAAGTAGTAAGTTATAATGAGAAGTGCATCTCATATTTAAACATTTTGGAAGAAGAATCCAGAGAAAGGATAAGAACAAACGAAGGGTGTATCAAAAATCTTCTGTATCAAATCAAAATTCTGCAAGATACATCAGAACAAGAAAAATTAAAAATAGCTAGATTTCAAGACTGGAAAAGTCAAATTAGTGACGATAAATCAATACATAAGAAACATATAGAATTTGCAGTATCCAAGCTAAGACAAATGGCGCAGAAGGCTGTAAGGGATGTAAGGCATTACATGGATAAAAAAATAATAAAGTATATATCATCCACGTTGGAGATGAAATGTTCCGTTTTTTCCTATCGTAATTGTCATGTTTCCCGACCTAAAGATTTCTTTGGGGTCAAAAATGTGGATGAGCATTAAACGATCTAATACGATATACCTTTTGCAAGAATAAAATATCTTATGGTTAATTTTCTACATGATAATATTTCATATTTTCTAGTTGGAGGAAACTGTGCATTCGACGTTTAATAATCATGACAAGAGGAACGAAGCTTTACAGACGTCAATGAGTGCAATAAGTGAATTGGGAGAAGAAATATTGACGGTGACAAGAAATCTAGATTTGGAAAACAAACGGGTAAGAACTATATATTTGTTTATAAACATATCTATTTATCAGGTAACCAAATAAGTTCGTGCTGTTTTTAGCAGAAAACTATAAATTTTTATTGAGAAACAATAAGACACTATTTATTCGTCGAAGTAATTACCATCACATTCAATGACCTTTTGCCAACGTGGAACCAATTTTTGTATGCCGGAATTGTAGAACTCCCTGGATTTGTAGTCAGAAAGTTGGCGGACTGCATTTATTACACCATCATGAGTTGTGAACTGTCGGTGCCTCATACAGTTGTCAAGAGATAAAAAAAGGTGATAATCACTGGGCGAAATGTCGGGAGAATATGGCGAGTGTGGTAACGTTTCCCAGCCGAGTTCAGAAATTTTTTCTCGGGTAACTTTTGTGGTATGAGGCTTGGCGTTATCCTGCAAGAATATCACTTCCTTCCGATTGATCAAGGGTGTTTCTGTATGAGTGCTGCATGTACTCGTTGAAGCTGATCACAATCCAAGTTAGTAGTGATGGTTTGACCCGTTTCCAAAAACTCATAATGGACAATTCCAGTTAATGTCTACCAAACACACAACAAAACCTTGTTTGGGTGCAAGGAAATCTTGGGCGTGTGTTGTACCGAATCTTTAGGCGACAACCAATGATACGAAAGCTTAGAATTCGAATACAAGATCCATTTTTTGTCGCAGGTTAATAACCGATTGAGGAATGATTCATTAGCGTTGCGTGAAATGTGTACTGAACAAATGGTAAGACGACTTAATTTGTTATCATTTGTCAGTTCATGTAGGACCCATTTGCTTAACTTCCACGTCTTTCCTAGTTGATGAAGATGCAAACGAATAGTTTCGGGACTCACTCTAAACATTTCTGCAGGTTCTTGGCACGTTGTCCTGGAATTGGCGTCCACAACCTGTCGAAGATCCTAGTTGTTCATGATTTTTGGTCTCCCTGAGCGCGGTTCATCGCTCAAACTGAGATCTCCCGAAGAAAATTTGTTGACCCACTTCTGTGCTGTTCGATCACTAACGGCATCATCTCCAAATGCGGCACATATGCTGCAGCTTTTGTACCAAGTTTGTACTCATACAGTAAACAACTTCGAATTACTGTTTTATTCGTCGTCATTTTCAATTATTAAAACTAGGTGTGTAACAGTTTTCACCAACTTTTTATGTGCTTGAAAAAAGAAGAAGAAGAAAATTTATTGAACCACATCTGTGCTGTTCGATCACTAACGGCATCATCTCCGAATGCGGTACATATTTTTCGCGCCGCCGCTGCAGCTTTTATACCAAGTTTGTACTCATACAGTAAACAACTTCGAATTACTGTTTTATTCGTCGTAATTTTCAATTATTAAAACTAGGTGTGTAACAATTTTCACCAACTTTTTATGTGCGTGAAAAAAGAAGGATTCATACTAAAGTGACAACGGATAACAAACAATCGCTATTGATCAACAACATCCATGGCAATATGCGATATACAGCAACCGCACGAACTTATTTGGTTACCTGATACATGTACCATTGATTAACGTATTCCACAAGAAGACATCCAGCCCAATTTAAAGCCGTGCCTGCGCGAATATAAGCCTATGTACCAACGCCGCCAACCATTTAAAGGTACATCTCAGTGACAAAGAAAATCGAACGCCCAGTAAAGGTGATTTCATTTGAATAAAGTTTTGTACAGAGGTAGATATTGTAAAGAGGAAGTAGTGATTAAATTATGAAGTGAAAAGTGAACAGATTTGTATCGGTCATTTCAAAATCCGCTTTATTATGGACTTACGTGTTTTTTCAAGCACTACTCGACGGCTGGTACTGGAGTGTTTCATTTTAAAAACAGCACCAGTGCCCGTGATTTGTTTTATTTTCATATTTATGTGCCATATGCACTAAAGTATGAATTTTAGAATTACTAACTACAGAAATAAGGTTACAGACCATATCGGCACGGGCATTACGTATCTTGAAAAGTGACATTATCTCGTTTTTTTTTGACATTGTATTGTTTTTTTGTGATATTAGGTAGGTTTTTCTACAAGATGTTAACTTACCATTAGCTGATGGACACTTTGTGAACTTGTTTTGTAGTTGTGCGTGTTGCCTAAACGTCATGAGGCTTCAGTTATCAATGTTTGGCTCTGGGTGATGTAAAATCTGTTCAGAGATGGCATTACTGGAGGTGTAAGCTGTAAGTTGTATACTATATTCCAAACTTGCTGAATTTAAAAAATAAGAGAGATAAGAAATAATTATATTCACTGTATATTACAAGTAATATACGTGCTAACAGTAATTATACACAACGCGGGCGCGGTGGTGATTTCCCGTGATTCTTGAAAATCAAAAAAAGTAGAAAATCGTAATTTGAATATAATCTGCCTTCAGAAAGGACAACATATACCCTATTTCACGAGTATTTGTCACGCTTTGACGTCTACTGATGTGAACAGCTGATCAGCAAGTGACATTTTTGTGTTAGTCTGCAACGTTGGCAATAATGAATCGGATATAAATCTAGTAAAACTTGGTTGTGGCGTTTAGTTTTATGTATGCAAGTGAACTTTTCTGGATAAAAGAGCTGTTAGCAAGTATAAAATCAATCTGTAGCATACAAGAAACCAAAACAAAATACCTGGCGTTGACGGATCCGTCAAAATTATGTGTCCTGTGTCGATGGGGAATTTTGAAGTATTACCAGATAACCAGCTGTCATTCAGCCGTGGTGCATACTCGTGAAATAGGGTATATAAATAACCCGTCGGGCACAGCTAATAGATATACTTCATTGACAGCATATTCAGTAATGATTTTCTCACACAGCAAATATCACTGAGTTTATACACATGCAGAACAATACACATAATCAGCCAGATGTAATCTTGCTATTCAAACAACTTTCTTCTCTGATATGAAAACTATAGACTACTCCTGGTGAGCAACCGTAGAATTACTGTTTGCATCCTAAAAACTACCTAGTCTGCAAGATAATCAAGCAATTTCATCTTGCAATACTAATTTTGTTAGTTTGATGCCTGGTCGTCAAATAAACATGTGGGTTCTTCTACAACCGATTACCGATTGCTAAAAAAATTGAACGAATAAGTCATCTGTATTTTTTAACGATGGTGGATTCATGGTTTGGATGAAGAACGGAAAATGAGACTTTTTCATGTATATTTTGCTGTGGTTTCCCCTATGTACGTTAAAAATATTAAAACATGCAAAACTGAAACATGTGGCATGCTAATATGTTATTATGTAAGTGTAATTCTCAATAATCAGAAATGAAAAATATGATTAATATGTTCCGTTTGCTTAAGTTATATACCGCTAACCCTTTTTCCTGCTAAAATGATGGAAGTCCATAACAGTTTTTAGGATTTTTTCCATTATTATTATTCTAAATTCCATTTGATTTGTCAGTGACACAGTTTTAGTTCAAATTATGTGACTTATGAGGTTTTTGCAATATCTGTTTGATTTGTTGAAATGAAATGAAATGTTTATTATTCTTAGCTCTAAAGCTACTTCCTATAGTTTATAATAGTGTCTTACTCAAGTAATAAACAAAAAAACAGTAATTCTAGATTCCCTTAAAATCATAGTAACTGCAACCACAGTAAATGCAACAATAGCAAATGCGAGATAAGGACATACAGTTATCTTAACACAGAAAGTACATATATTATGCCATTTTATCTAGATACAATTGCTTAACCTTACGAATAAATATATTTACAGACGTCGCTTCTCTAATTTCTGTAGGTAATGCATTAAAAAGACTCAAACCATCACTAAAAAGACATTTTTGCATATGGGATGTTCTAGCGAATTCTATGTCAAAAGTGTTACGTGACCTGATATTATATGCATGAATCTCGGACCTCGGTATTAGATATTCCTGCAAGTATTCAGGCTATAAATGATTTTTTGTTTTAAAAATAAATAAGACATTTGACATTTCAACCTTTTGCTGTATTGAAAGCCATCCGAGGGTTTTTAACATTAAATTAATAGGCGTATAACGTGTACAAAATAATATAGTGCGCATAGCCTTATTTTGTAGTAACTGGAGCCTTTGAATATCAGTTTTTTTGCATGATAGCAACAATGAAAAACAATAATTAAAATGTGGATATATGATGGTATTATATACAAGAAGACGACTCCAGTGACTAAGACTTTCAGATATTCGCCTAAAAAATCCTATTTTTTCCCAATTTTTTTACTAACATAATCAACATGCAATGAAAAATTTAGCTGAGGATCTAAAACTACGCCCAAATACTTCATACTAGATGCACTTTCAATTTGAATATTATCTATCTCAATACAAAATTTATTTTCTAAAAATGTATTACAGTTCTGCTTTGTCCCAAAAACCATGTACTTTGTTTTTTCTACATTCAACTTAAGCCTATTCACACATAACCAGTTATACAGAATTTCCAGTATTGAGTTCATAGTATCTACAACTTGTCTAAAATCCTTACCGTACGCATAAAGCAATGTATCGTCTGCAAATAAGCTCAGAAATGTATTTAAACCCTGTTCAAGTCATTTATATAAAGTAGGAACAAAAGCGGGCCCAACACACTACCCTGAGGTACCCCAATTTCACTATCAATTGAATTTGACGCCACATTATTAATCTTCGTCACATGACAACGGTCTTTCAAGTAGTTCATAAACCATTTTAGTGCACTGTCTGTAATCCCATAGGTCTGCAATTTCTGGATCAGTCTTTTCCTATCAATAGTCTCAAATGCACGTGGAAGGTCGATGAATACACTTAACACAATATTCCCGTCATGGATGTATGAACGCCATTTCGAACAGACATACTGCAGCGCCGACTCGCACGAGTTTTTCCCGAAATCCCGACTGTCCCTTAAACAACAGTTTTCTTGCCTCCAGAAACTCCCGTAACTGCGCACAAACCACGGTTTCCAAGATTTTGTCTATCACTGATAACAAGTTAATGGGTCG